TTGGATGTGCTGTTCAAGGTGATGTGGAAAAACTCAACATTGCCTTTTGAATGATATGCTTCATGGCTGATTGCAGTTTTCACTTCATCACGCATTTGCAAAATGTGTGCGAAGACTTCTTTCTTCTTTAGGTAACTCCAGAGGGGGTAAGTAGCCCATAGGTGTCAAATGTGGGAAGTGAGATGGCAAATGACGTCACTAAAGCTGGAAGATCAGAGGATTTAGAAATGTCTTGAAGTAGTAGCCATACTTGTCCTTGCCATTGTCTCAATATGTATTATATTATTTGCTAATCATCTTTTTATAATTCTGTAATATTCATTATTCTGCCTTAATATCTGCTGAAAATCTATGATAGAGCCTGTTTGAGTTAAAGTTTCCAGAACTCTAATCGGCAACTGTACAGGCTAGTGGTCCATGGTACACTAATTTCCTGTCTTCCAGCCTCTGCATGGATGTAAGTACAGTACGAATGTGCCTGTTCATTCTGAAAGGGTATAGAACTTAAAATTGGCAAATGCAATATTCATTATCCTATATTTTATCAAATGAATTTTTATCGTTTGTTTAGTGAAGATAATACCTGATTTCAAGTGTTAACATTATGAATATACTAAATTTATCTTATTTTGTTAGCATTATTTTCATTAGAAAGCTTTCCATTGTATTGAATATCATTTCTTGCTATTGTGATGTAATTTTAACCGAGAATTTTGCAGTTATTCCTATATTGTTTTTCTCTATGATTTTTTTTAAAACTTGCTGAATATTTAGGCTTGCTATATGCTTGTAATATAGTTATCGTCTTTCTTTAGGCTATGCGGGAAGGTAAGCGTTGTGTTACAGCTCATTGGTTGAATGATATTCTTGCTAAGAAGAAAATGAAACATCCCTGGTATGCTCATCACCTTCCAGTTCCATTTTCTGATGAGAAGCCATGCAAAAATCAGGTGTGTTTTGTATTAGTCTGTATGGTTAGTATATTGCTAAAATGGAATAAACTATATATGTTTATACCTATAAACTTTGTATTTCTTATGCCTGTGTGCTCTGTGAAATATAAATTTTTTTCTAGCAGTGCGAAACTTCTACATTTTGATATGAGGTGTATTTATTAATCTCTTGAAAATATCCTGTATCTGTCCTTCTGCTTGGAGCTTCAACTTTGGATTTTTAAAGTATTTTGATTTATTCAGACCCAAGGGAGTCTTGTTATTTTGTCAGTTTGACAGCTGTAATGCAATAATGATTTATTTCTCTTTATCTAATAATTCTAGAAATAAAGAACTCTTGAATGTATAGATTAGAAAATTAATAATATTTTAAAAGTTGTTTAACCAGGAATTTTGTAAAGTTTTCATTACGTTAACTTTTGAGTCATTTTTTGTAAGGAAGTCCAGTTGTTTATTATCTGATTTTATTGTTATACTATGCTGATATGTATTTCATATTTTGTTTGTAAATTACTGTATTTAAGCTATTCTGTGTACATGTATTAATGGAACATTAATTCAAGGTAGTGTAATTTTCATTACTAAATTTATTAAATATTAATGATGCTGGAGAGTAATTAGAAAATCATTTTCAAGCCATATAACATGTTGAGTAAATTTTAATATTTTTATGATTTCAGATAATATCTATATCAAATTTTGAAGCTGATGAAAGGACAGTACTGAAGCATGTTATCCAGATATTAGGGGCTAAATATACAGGATACATGACATCACACAATACAGTTATTATTTGCAAAAGGTACATTTATGTTTTCATTGTGTTATAAGTCTTATGTGAAAGAAACATTGAGAAAAATTCCATTGCATTAAAAAATTATTTTCTATTTCTTTTAAAATGTTTTACATGAAGTGTATGGAAAGCTGTGAGTATGGAAAATTATCTCTCTCTTTTAAAATATGAAAATATTTATCTATTTCTACAATAACATCATTTATCTCAGGATTTTGGGTAATTATTGATTAATTGCAGTAAGGATTTTAAAGTGATATACTAATTGTTAAACTAGTAATGGTTGCCATTTTATCAGGAAACAAAGTAATAATAATGTGTATTAGTAAAATTAAGAAAATCAACTAAAATAACAAATTCTGTTGAACTTATAAAATGGCACATAAATGTCAAGTCCAAATTCTGAGCAAATAATTTTTGGTAAGGGGGGCTAATTGTGAATGCAGGACAGATTACAGATTAGAAATTTGAAAGGATACAATTAGAGATTTAAAATGAACCTTGTTTAAAAGATATTTTCCCTCTCTATATGATGGTGCAAATGATGAAATTCTGCGATTATTAGTTTGTTCAAAGGAAAGATATATTAAAGAGGGAAAAATCAGAAATAATTTCAACATTAAATAAATAGTAAAAATTTAATTTTTTTGGGGGGGGAAGAGAAACACTTTGAAGTTGTCACCCACCTCATCTGGACAATCAAAATCTGCCAAATGTTGCACTATGCTATATACATACACATTCAGCTAAACTGTCTGTTTTAATATTACATATTAGCATCAAATATACTTGTGTTTCCATGTTGAAGGCTATTGTTGTTTAAATTAATTTTTTTCAAGAAAATAACTATTCGGTTTACTGGAAAGTTCTGTTCTTTTGGAATGAAACAAAATACAAATTTTTCTTACAATCAGTAAACTTTATTAAATAATATAATTGCCATTATTATTAATGACTTCTTACCAGCATGAGGGCAATTTGTACATCCCATTTTTGAAAAATGTTGTATCTTTTGATGTAAAAAGTTGAACTAGTGCTTGTTTGATATCTTCTCCATTTTTTAATTTTTTACCCTTCAAAAAATTTTGTAAGGACAAAAATAAGTGATAATCGGAGGGTGCTAAATTCCGGGGAATATGGTGGATGCCACAGAATTTCCCAGCCTAGTTCTGCAATTTTTTGACGAGTCCCCAAATTAGCATGTGGCCTGGCATTATCATGATGCAGTATGATGTCCTTCATACTGAACATCGCCGATCTCTTTTCTTTGACTGCTATCTTTAAATTATCCAGTTGCTGACAATACTTCTTCGAATTGAGCTTTTCATTCGGTTTTAAAAGCTCATAATGTATTGGTCCTTGAATGTTGGTTTAGAAGTGTAAGGGCTAGGTTTTCCGGGTTCACAATATGCCCTTTTCTTTACAATGTTTTCGTAGATGTTGCATTTTTCATCCCCAGTTATCATTTGGTTCAAGAAGGTCTCTATTTTGTTCTAAGCAAGTAGAGATGTGCAAATGATGACTTGATCATCGAAATGCTTCTGACTTAATTCCTGTGGCACCCATCTTGAATATTTCCACACCAATCCTATATTTCAAATATGGTCTGAACTGGTTTGTTTAGCTGAATTAAACCTTTCTGTGATCTCCGATGTTGTCAGAGAAGTATCGTGCTCCAATATGGTCTTAACAACATCATCATCAATCAAAGATGATCTCCCAAAATGTAGCTTATCAGAAAGGTTGAAATCACTTGTTTCAAATTTTTCGAACCATCCTTCACATATCCTATCAGAAACTATACCTGCACCAAGCACTTTCAACAAATTTCTACATCTTTCTGTAGCATTTTTTTCCTTGTTGAAATTTGCATAAAATATGGTAATGTAAATGAACTTCATCAGTAGCCATGGGTACACTTTTGCTTCACACTTAAGATTAACGTGAATCGACTTTGTTTTAGCTCATTTGCTACGTCAGTACGTATACATTAAGTGACAAAAATAGAGAGCCAAATATGTGCAAATAAACATGTGTTAACATGTCAAAAGTGTTGTCATAGAAACAGAGAGAACTTTCTGGTAGACCAAATATTTTGTTTTGCTTACTTTGTATATTTCATTATATTTTAAATAGGTATATCTCAAACTTTTGTGCCACTTCTTACTTTTTTAATTATCTTATGTAACATATTCTTTTCATGAATATATGTATAATGACTATCATCTAGTCATATTGACATAGACTTATTGAATCAGTTATTTTGAAGAAGATAAACTAACATATGTTTTTTTTTTTTTTTTTTTTAATTTCTTGGCAAAAAGTCAGCATTGAAAATGTAACATAGTATAGCAATAAAAAATTATGTGTACATACCATACTTATAACAATACTATATACAGTACCTGCTGCTTATTAAAATCACATTCATTCCAAACATATATGAGTTTATTTAAGTGACTGAATATAATAAATGGCAATTTCAGCATTGCAAATTAAAGTATCAACTGTAAACTTATTTATGAAGATAGTAACTAATAATTAATCTAATAATTATTACCTAAATTATTAGTCAAAAATTAATGCTAACACTATTTTGAAAAAATGAGAAATTTGTGTATTATTATATTTTTTACTAAAAAGAATTATAATTACACACCTGATGAAATTTTAAACTTTTACAAAGAGTTGCTCTGTCCATATCGTTTCACATTATTCGTCAACAGTCTTTCAGTTGTACTCGTAAAACTGTTGGTAGCTTTTCTGATCTCCCCCTATCAATTTTAGAGTTCTTAGAGTTTGTACTGCTTTTCTGAATTCAACTGAAGTTAGCATATAGTCACTTCCTTCTATATCCTTTTAACTGTCAGTTTTAGTTTCTACAGCTCTTTTAACACTTTCTGTAACATCTTAGTCAGTGTTTTCACATGCTGTCTCATTCATGTCATGTGTCATTTCATGTGTGATGTAAAATTTCGGATGACTTGTGTTCTTTAGAAGCTAGGGTAAAATGTCTTTAACCCCTTCGCGCCGACTGTCACGTATACGTGCCAGCAACGAACACACTTACCTACTGGCCGACACGCAAGCGTGCCAGAGGATTGTTCCGTTCTCTGCCGACTGTCACGTATTTGTGCCAGTACTTTGGAACGTTTTTCAAACTATAATTTCTGCCACAAGGATGGCACTGTATGTTCCATATGGTTTCAGCTAAATGTAAATTAGACCTTCTACTGACATGAGAGAAGGCATGACTCACATACACGTGTTTTTGTATATAAACACCAAAGTTTCCGAAAAATGGCGTGATTATGAAGTCTCTTAAATCGCAACTTTATTCGCACGTGGTAGTGGGTTTACTGTAAGTAGAGAAGTTTTATTTGCTCTAAAGCGTTGGTTATTTTGGTTGCAGTTCGTTTTAGAAAATAATTAGATCTTGTTAGACGTGAATTCTTTGTTTTAACGTTGCAATGTCGAAGCGTCGAAAATGTTTAACAGGGGGAGCATGAAATAGCAGAAATGATGCAAAATATTTCAGATATTGATTCTGAAATCGAATATGATAGTGATTCTGAAAGATTAATGAAAGACATTTTCCAAAAACTTTGTTCAGAAGAGCCTAATAAGACATGATGACGGACGGTGCTTCGTATGTCACTTCCCGGAAAAATCCTCCAAAACGGGAAAATGAGTTCTTATGAGTGCAAGGAATGTACGTAGGACTGTGTGTAAGATCCCTGTTCAAATTTTTTCATACGAAAAGAGAATTTTAAGTAATATATTTAGTTTTCAGAGTATAATGTTAAAAGTTATAAAAATGGTGAGTAAGTTGAGTTAATTAAATAAAATGTGTAAAATAGCATTTAAAAAAAAACCCAGAAAATAAGGAATTAAGTATATATATATAAATTCTATTAAAGCATAGCCGTGTAAATACTCTATAGAGGCATTATGTAAACAATGCGTTGATACTTGGAAATTTCAGGATTTAGGGTTAGTAACAAAAAAGCCCCCGGCCCTGGAGAGACGCTCGCGTAAAACACTGCCGGCCTCAGCGATAGGCGCGCGTTTTCGCTACCCGGCTCGAAGGTGTTAATATTGTTCTCATCTGAACGATGATCTGTTTGCTTCTCACCATGTAGTTTCCGATAAACAATGTTAGTTCTTTTTTTTCATCTTGTGAGCCAGCCATCAGTTGGCACAAAATTTTCTTTGAGCATTTTAGTGAATTCTACAGCTTTTATGGTCAAAAGAGCTCTAGAAATAAGAATGTTTTTTTTAGTCTGTTTGTTTGAAACCATTCTGCAAGAGTGGTTTCAACATTTTTCGATTTTCCATGCCTTTTACACTTCCTTGAGATGTTGCATTTTTTACTAGTTCTTTATCAATTTTATTTCTTTGTTTAAGTAAATTGCACAATGCTGTTTGGGAAATTCTCATTTTAAATATTGCTCCTTTGTGGCTGCATTTACGAAATATATCATATTCTTTCAACAATTTATCCCCCCTTCCCCCCCCCAGGCTCAAATAATTTCGTTTAGGCATTTTCAACATGTTACAAGTCATGCACATAGCAAATAAAAAAGTTTTCTTATGGTGGTTTGTTCAAATCCAAAATTCCCATTTCTAGCCAACAGTTTGCACCTTTGTCTATCAACTCGGCCTACCACTTCATGGTTATTATAGGCATAATCAATGTTTTCTTTTCTTTTTTCTTCAATATACAATGACCACTCCCCTTTTCCAATCAAAGACTGATAATGTGTGACAATGCCAGGAAGTATTTTATGATAATTTCTGAGAACACTCAGCAAACTTAAGACAGGTATGCACTTCCGTCCCTTATCAGCTAGTGTTCAAGAAAGGAAAACCGGTTCTCATTTAAGCACCACCTATTTTTTAATTCATGGAAACACTCACTCATGTATAATCAATTAACTTGTTTCGAATGCCCTCTAAAGGACTATTTTTGTTAATCATAAAATGAAAGTATTATGTTGCTGTCGGCGTGCAACAAATTGGAAGTTGATCTGTCAGCACTATCCTTACTTCAGGACAGCTTTTTTTTTATTATTTGGATATTCATTATAATGTATTTCATCTCGATTTTTCCTTTGATATGATTTAAATCAATCCGCACATTTAAAATTCACGAATACACATTAAATAGTTTTTCTGGTTGCAATTTTCTATTTCGAACATATGTGTAATGTATGCTTTATGCAGATGTGCATCGAAAAGGAAAAAAAAAAAAGTTTAACACAGTTAAAACAAAATAAATATGTAAGCTTTTTTTGTTTTTTTTTGTAAATTTGTAGCCTTAGATTCCTGTTTATTTCATAAATTACGTTTTCATATTTTTAATTTTATAATTTTTGTATGCCATCTTACCAGATTTAAATTGATGATCTATAATCCAGAATTGCCGAAGTCCCGATGAGTCCAGATTAAAGACTTTTGACTGTACTTATGTTTTTTGCCATCTTAATAGTGTAACAATGGTTGATTTTCATATATTTGGAGATTCATAACAGTCGTATAATGTAACATTAAGTATTTAGGAAATTAGATGAGAGCAAAAAATTCATTCAATATGTGTAGAAATTCATTATAAGCTGGGTTCACTTATGGAGTTCCTATGTATTACTTATAAAATTATTGTCGGTATTCCATGCCCTTTTTTAACTTAAAGAACTCTTTTTATATTGTGTCTCTAAATAAATAATAATACCTGTTTTTTGCGATATTGTTTTAAATGCTAATGTTAAAAAAAAATTAGCTTTATCTTTTGGTGATTGATTTTATTTCAGGAAAGAAGGCAAAAAAGTACAAAGAGCAAAAAGTTGGAGAATACCGGTTGTTAATGTACAGTGGCTCCATGATTTGATGTTTGGCCATTTTGAAGCACTGAGATTACCAATGGCTCACAAATATCAGCAATATGATTTGGATAATCCATTTGCGTTAGATTATGCCTTAGTTCCACATCTTATGGGTAAGGATTTTGTTCATATTAGTCTTGAAAGAAACTAGGTATAAAGTAAGAGATTTTAGCATATAGTGTCTGATATGTTTGAATAATATAAAATTAAGTTTGAGTAAGAAGATATTTCTGTGAAACTGGCAATTTATATAACTAAAAATTTTGATTTGTTGAAATAAAATTCTGCTTTGATGAAATCTGCTGTGAATTTTTCTTAGGTGTATAGAAGTTATTATAATGTTATGGGATATTGCATTACTGATGTGTGTAGAAATTTTTAACTGAATAGAAACAGAAATACAAACAAAGCCTTTGCTGCAGAATTGTTATGAGTACTAACAACTTCCGAGTTCTGTATTTAACTATCTAATGATTACTAATTTCTTGTAGGACAGTATACTTCTTAGCACTTATAGAAGCATACATTTTTTACTTACTTTTTAGGGCTAATATCTGAGTGTTCTCAAATAATCACTTTGGACTAGAGGATTAAGTTTCAATTAATCTATACAAAATTCAGGACAAATAAAAAGTATTTTAATTTATTGAAAATAATACATTTGCAATTATATACAAAAATAACAGCATGTTAAAATTATAGTAAAATGCTTACATTTTAGTGTCTATTTATCTCGCTGTTAACTTGTTTTCTTTCTTAAGTGTTTACAGTTTCTGTACTGTCAGATTTATTGACAAAATTATGCCAGGACAGATAAACTTGCAACACAGAAATTACAAGGATAATTATATGTATAGGAGGCATTTTGAATTACAGAATGTGCAAGAAATTAATTTATCTTAGCAGTTAAAATTGAGTTAAAAAAATTCTCATTAAAAGCATATTTATGCCATTATCACTTCTCAAGGAGAAAATATAATAAACATAGTAATTAGAATTTTATCATCTAAGAAGAAGAAATTATTATTAGGAGTAAAAAGAAGAGGAAGTTTTGCTTATCATTAGTAATAAACTAATTAAACTTAGCTTATTACTAAGTGCTACCTGTATAACCAATGAAACTAGCAATTAGTAATAAGCTAATTAAACTGGCTTAATCAAGAGCTAGCATTTTAGGGGAACACCAACTGATAGTTTTTGTGGGGCAGGACTGAACTTATTCCGCTTTAAAACATTATCATTTTTATTTGTTTCCTATAGTAAAATTTATCACAAAATTTTTCTGTACACTTTTCAGAAATATATATTTTAAATCTGAATTTTAAAACTTTGTTTAAATTTTGCAGCCAGACAAAAAGTAGTCATAGCCAAGTTTAAGTAATCATAAGTCTCCTCAAAATTTCTTCTATTATGAGGTTTTAAATTGTAGTCAGCTCATGATTTTCTGTTTCTTTTTATCTTTAATTTAAAAAAGTGAATCCAGTTAATGATACTTAAATTTATAATTGTACTTATAATTTAAAAGTGCTGTAGCTTAATTTATTTTTTTAATTGAAATAAATCAGAAGGACCCCTCTTTTTATATAATGTATGTAAGAAAAAATATATATATAATTATATATGGAATATATATAAATAGATGTACCGTATATACCGGTCATAAGTCGACCACAACTTCGACGTAAAAATTCATAGAAAATAAGAAACCCGGTATAAGTCAACCCCCACTTCCGAAAATCGATCGAGAAACTTTGAAAAAAATTTTTTACGTATCATTATTCAAAAATCATTGAGAAAAAAAAGAAATATTACGATAGAAAAAATACTTGTAATAAACAAAATCAAAATCCTTCAACGTCTGATTCATGGTCAGATTCGTCAAACATTTCATAGAACTCTTTTGTCATCATTGGCTCGTCATCATACATATTTTCAGTCTCGAACTCTGGATCGTTACAATCACTACTAGAGCCTTCGTCATCATTTTCACTTTCAAAAGCAGCATTATCATCTGTGCCGTTTAGTTCGTTGCTAATACATTTTTTAAATGATTTTATCATTTCAGAGGATATTTCATTTCCAAGCATCTTTAACCCACTGAGCAAATTAATGTAATATTCGGGCTTTTTAATGTTGCCTCCCTTTGTAAATGTCAGTCGACCGGAACTAGTCCACTCTGTCCAATATTTTCTAACATTTACTTTGAAGGGTTTATTGAGGCAGACATCTAGGGATTGAATGACGGATGTCAATCCTCCCGAAATTACGGAGTCGTTTTTAGGTGTTTAGTAACTTTTGTCACTTCTTCAGAAAAGTGTCCACGAAAAGAACGTGTACTAAAAGAGAAGGTTTTTTGAAAGCTGCTCCCAGTCTTTATTTCCCACAAATTTTAAAGCTTATCAACTGTTCGTTCAGCATCCATTTCATCCCTTTTCATGGGCACGAACCAGCACACCAGATGGAAACACAACGTTTTTCGGTAAAGTTTTTTTTAAAAAAAATGATGAACGGACGAAGCTTACTGCCATCAGCCAGCACAAAAGAATGCCTGTTAAACAAACGTATTTCATGAATGAACAATAATATTATAAAGACTTATTACGTAGTAAAAACTATCTGCATTTCCTTTTCTTGCGTGTTGGCGAAACTTTTTATTGCTCGATATTGATTCAGTTGTTCGGGAGCCAAAAAATAGTCGTCCAATTGAGTGCGGGAAGAAAGAAAAACACTGCATATATAAAGAAATTTTGAACTTCCGATTCTTTTAATTTTTTGTGGCCCCACGTATAAGTCGACCCCCCACTTTGAAGTCTTTTTTTGGCAAAAATTTATCTCGAATTATATGAAGGTATATACAGGTAATATATATAATATAAATTATATTATAATGTATGTAAGGAAAAACAAGACCAAATTTTGTAAAAAAGCATGTAAAGAAACATAATAACCAGAGATCTGTAACTATATGCTGGAAAAAAATTTAAAAATAATAAATTATAAATTTATCAAATAATAGATGGTAAAAACAATTATTTGTCACCTTGTGAATGTTAAATAAAATACATTACTAGTATCATAATTGCCATAAATTTAAGATTATAATAATAAAATTAATTTATTTCATTAAATTCAATAATTACCATTTTGTGCAATTTTAAATTTAGCTTTTAAGGTGATTTATGTTTTTATTTGAGTTATATAAAAGAAAAGCTTTAAAATTGTTTAGGCTGTGTATTTTTATATTGTTTTGAATTTGTATACTGAAAATATTGTGCTTTCAGTGATATGCATTATATCTGAAATATTTTATGTAAAAATTCTTTTTCTGTGTAGCTGCATGGAAAGTTCCTATAAAGATCAGCGAAGAATTGTTAAAGGTGTGTATAAAATAAAATTATTTGTGTTTGAATGTGGTGTATAATTTTTGCCTTTTATTATATCTGAATTTTAAATGCTTTGGATAACTCCTAAGTGAAGCTATAGGAATTATTTGTAATATTTGCTAGATAAGGCGTGCTGTAGTTCCATTCATTTAAACAAATCTTTAAGGATTAGGAAGGAGAATGAATACTAAGATGTAAAGGTAAAAATAATCAAAGGGAGGGGAAAGCTAAAATATTAAATAGTTGTAGATGGCATAACAGTTATGGGCTGAAGTACAGGGTGGTCATAAAGAAACTTTGTCAACATCTGCACTTCTAGCATCCGTTCCGGTTAACCGATGAAGATGAGATTGCAAATATATTTATTTGGAGGTATGTGCTCGAGATTCTGTGAATAGCAACACAGGGCCGCTCGTGGTTATGGTTATAGTTACAGAATCTCGAAAATGTCGGATGGCAAAAGCAACTTTTTCCGGTCAAAAATGTTCAGCTCATGTGAAAACCAGGCCAACGAAACATGATCTGGGCGCACGCAGAAACTTTACATATGACAGAGACAAGATATTGATCACTGATGAGAACACATATTGGACAAAAGAATACCCTTCTTTGGATCAAACATTTTCCACATGGGTGCCATCACAAGCAAATATGCATTGCATGCAGGAGACGGTGGACAATACAGCTGAACACAACACGGCATAAGGGATGTTTGCAATCTCATGCCTTATAGAATCCTTTAAATCTGACAAAGGTTGTGGATTGCAGGTAAACTTTGGATTTGAGATATCCCCAAAAGCAGAAATCCATATCCGTCAGATCAGGGGATTCCGGAGGCCACGGAAATGAATAATAGCAGCATGAGATAATGCAATCATCAAATTGTTATTCCAGGACCCTTTTAACTGACCTCCGTATATGTGGAAGAGCACCATCTTGCATCCAAATGTCATTGAGTGCGTTCCACCTATGCAATTCCAGTAGTACATAATTTTGCAGCAAGCCTGTACACCAAGAGCCTGTTACAGAGCATGTTACACGGCTCGTCGGTGTTGCTTCCTCAAAGAAGAACTGTTCGAGAACAAGTGTTGCTGTAATGCCGCACCACATAGTCACTTTGGCGTCAAATAATGATACGGGTGCCACAACGTGAGGATTTGTTTCTGTCCAGTGCACACAATTCTTTGTGTTAATGTTGCCATTTAAGTTGAAATGCCTCTCATCCATGCATAGCATGCGAAGTGGCCAGTCATTATCAGCATCATATGGTATTCGAAATTCATTTGCGAAGTCCAGATATAGTTGTGAATCACCTGGCTGCAACATATGGATGTGCTGGTACCGGTAGGCAAACATTTGAAGAACCGAGTGCAGTAGTTTGAGAACCGTTGCCTTCGGAATATCCAACATATATGTTGTGCCTCTTGCAGTTTCCTTGTGTCCTGCAATCACTGTGTAATGCACTTCCTTAACGACGTCCTCAGAAACTGTTGGTCATCTGGTGCGCAATTTATCACAGGTGCAGCCCATATCTTTGAATTTATGCACTAAATCACACAAAGCTTGCAGAGTACATGGGGCACATCATTGGAGATGATTTTTGGCGATACACACACAAGGCTACCACAGCCTTCATCCCATTTTGATAATACAGTTTTATCAATTAACCATGAACTTTCCCAGGAAGAGTCATTTCATCGCCATGTGCAAGTTCTTGAATGACGATTTCGCATACATTTTATCGGTTTCTTACGCTGAATATCTGGCTATCAGCATTCTGTGATTGTTATCTTGCTGTCATATGCAAATTTTCTGCATGCACCCAGATCTTGTGTCTTTGGCAGTTTCCAGAATTTTTTTTTTTTTTTTTGTGTGTGTGTGTGTGTGTGTGTGTGTATGCATAACACATCTGTTTTTGGACATATCGGTACTGTTCCAACGCTGTTTAGGGTTTTCGCATTCACTGAACATTTTGAGACCGGAAAAAGTTAGTGTTGCCATCTGACATTTTCGAGTTTCTGTAACCATAACTGTGACCGTCCCTGTGTTGCCATTCATAGAATCTCAGTCATGTACCTCCGAATAACTATATTTGCAATCTCATCTCAATCGGTTATTCAGAATGGACACTAGAAGTGCAGATGCTGGCAAAGTTTCTTTATGACCACCCTGTGTATTCATATACAGATGCTTCTCACTTTACAGACTTTCTCATAGCTGTTCCCAAAGAATTAAATTTATTCAGAGTAGTAAAGAAAGTAAATAAAATTAAAAATGGTTGGTTAAAAGAGAAAATTAAATGCTGATAATGACAATGCATAAAAATGACAAGCCATTTTGTTTGAATCAAAAGTCACTGTAATGAAAGTAGTGAGAAAATTATGAATATCATTCATTCGAATTGTATGACTCATTTGGCAATCAATCAGAATATTGCTTAAAAACAAAAATTTCATGCTTAAACATTTTAAAAGTGCAGTGCTGATGCAATCAACAGTTATCAGTCAAGGGTGAATGCTAGTGCAATCAGCAGATCTGATGCATCTCAAATGGCAACAGATAGAGGAGGAGAAAAAGGTCTGCCCCAATTAAAAAGTTCAATACAAATTTAATAGCAGTAGTGTTTTTCAAGTTTGAAAAGGGCCTCACCTTTTTAGAAAACCGAAACCCAATTCTGAGAGGTTTGCTAATGTAAAGTATGCTGTTTACAACTTCATATAGTGCTGCCATCTTAAAAAGAAAAAAGAAACCTATTTAGACAAGTGTACATGTTTATTTTCTCAAGAAACACACTCCAGAAATCAGTACTGCTAGCCCATCTTACATACGAACTCCTTCCACCTCCTTCAGAAATACAGCCTTCTCATCACAAATGTCCCTTTACTTACTGATGAATCTTCAGCGAGCAAGTAAGACATTGATTTACCCTCGCCTATGTAAAGATCTACTAGCCTCATCCCATCTACATATGCCCTCAAAGACAACTATCCAAATCAAATTCTGTTTAGTAAAATAATTCTTTCTTTACTTATTTATTTATTATGTAAAGACCTACTAGCCTCATCCTCATCCCATCTACATATGCCCTCAAAGACAACTATCCAAATTACATTCTGCTTAGTAAAATAATTCTTTCCTTACTTATTTTTTTTTTTGTTTATTTATACTATATTTAGATTTTAAAATGTATTAGTCATTAGTATTTTTAATTGTTATTTAACGGTTATAGATCTTACCTCACAAACATTGTTATTAGGTGTTCCTGAGATAAGAGCTAAAATGCTACTAGTGAATCTAGTAGCATTTTACCTACTTCTACACTACTAGTAGTAGGTATATAGGTATGTAGTATATAGTAGTAGGTATATGCTACTAGTGAATCTAGTAGCACATACATACTACTAAAATAATTAATTCTATGGTTTTTTTTATTCGTGCTGTTAATCATTATATTATAAATGGTTACGTCAAAGACATGCATATAGACTGAATAAGTTTCAAAAATAATTTTTTTTTTTTTATTTGAGAGATTTCTATAAGACATTAAAACCCAAATACATAGTTTTATGCTTCCTTTGCATGTATGTGATACTCCTTAAAAGGATCTTTTGATGCATATTTTGACATTCAAGAATTACAATGTATGTAGGAAATGGCAAAGCTGTAACAAACTCCATCAAGGTGCATGTGCTCAGTGTTAGAACTTGCAATGAGAATGATTTCTGCTTTTTTTTTTTTTTTTAAATTAAAAATGTAATTCAAATAACTTTTTATTGAAAATCGTTTAGGAATAAATTTACTTTTGAGTAGGACTATTTCAGTTTAAAAAATGTTTAAAACGTACTTTCTGCTTAATTTTTTATCGGATCATCATTTAAAAATTAGAATACATTTTGCTTGTTTTAGAAATAATCTTACAAACTTTGCATTATTATTTTTTATAAATGAAAATTTAAAAAATGCTTTTAGGAATAAATTTTCACATTGTATTATCTTTTGCAATAGACTCATTTAGAAAGTAGTGGAAAGCTTTGGGGATACTTTTTGATTGTTGCCACTTGTAGTTTTAAGGTAAATGACAATAGCCGACTTACAGATGTTCATACCACATGCATGTTTGAATAAACATCGATTTATGCACTTATATTTAAGCAATGTTTGGCTCATTATTGTATTTTTCATCTATTGAAAAGACACCGCATAAATATTTTTTATTCTTATACTTCTTTTTATTATTGTTGTTTCTAAACAGAACTGTACTGATGATCTGTAAAGAGCCAAGATAAACTTCATGGAGTGCAATATAATAATAATAAATATAAAACGCTTTTTTAGAATATGTTTATATCTTGTTAAATCAAAAGTATGAATTGAAAGTTATTTAGAGAATTTTGAATATTTATTTATTTATTATTTCATATTTATGTACATTTTATTAACCCCTCGAGCCGGGTAGCGAAAAGCGTGTTATCGCGGAGGACGGCAGGTCTTCCGCGAGCGTCCTCCAAGGCGGGGGCTTTTTGTACTAAGCCTAAATCCAGAAATTTCGAAGTATCAACAATTGTTTCATAATGCTTATAGAGTATTTAAAAGGTTTGCTTATAGATATTTTTATATATTACTTTAATTACCTTTTCTGTTTAAATGCATATTTACACATTTATTGCTTATAGATGCTTTTATATATATACTTTAATACCTTTTTCTTTAAATGCATATTTACATTTATTTAATTACTCACCTTATGATTTACATCTACATCTGAAAACTAAATATTACGTAAAATTCTCTTTCGTATGAAAAATTGAAAACAGGATCGACAACAGTCATACGTATGAAATCTAATAACTAATTGCCGTTTTGGAGGATTTTCGGGAATGGAACAAACGAGCAGCGTCTCATTTCTTATCAGTCTCTCTGAACAACGTTTTGAACAGTTTCTTTCAGTTAATCTTTCAGAATCAATATCATAATATCGAATTTAGAATCAATATTGCGGATAGTTCTGCTATTTCTGCCTTTAAACAGTGCAACGCTTCGACTTGAAACGGTAAAAACAAAAGTCACGTCTACAGAGCTAATGATTTTCGAAAATTGAACGTGAACAGAAACACTCGACACTTTAGAGCATAGAAATTCTACGTACAATAAACACTACCACGTGGATAAGTACGATTTAAGAAGTCATAATCACGCCATTGAAACCATTAATTCCCCGTTGTTTAATAATCAAAAAACACTGTAGGAGTCAGCTTCTCAGTAGCGGTAAATGGAAGTTTGAAACCAATGGACATACAGTGCCATCGTGGCAGAGTATAGTTGAAAACGTCCAGGTACTGGCAAATACGGACGCGGTGTAAACGCAAAAATGCTCGGCCGCGTGTCGGCCGGTAGGTAAGTGTGTTCGTTGTTGGCACGCATACGTGACAGTCGGCGCGAAGGGGTTAAGCATTATAAATTATTATATGCTTCAGTTTTTTTTTCTTTTGCTCATTTATTAATAAATTCTATGCCATTTGTTTTTGTAGAAACATGATATAAAGGAAAGCAGTGCAAATGAAAAAACTGCAGCTGTTGAGAAAGTAAGTTTTTATTCCCAAAATTCTAAATTGGCGCTTTTTTTCCTCCTGTGCTGTTTAATTAAAGAAAGCACTTTTTGTGATTTGCAAATCAATTTGATGTAAATTTTAATTTGTAAAATATTTCACCTTTTATTTTAAATTTGTAAATTTAATAAACTGTCTGTGTTGTTTAATGGTTTTGTATTATAAATATTCAATTTTTTTTATTTATATAATTTTTCTGTTCAACTAAATATTTAACTTTTCAATAATTAAAAGTTTTATGTGCATTTTAATGGGAGTATCTTTGCTGTGTAGAATCTTTAAATTGGTGGCAAAAGTTTCTTGAATTTTGGGACTGTTTGAGGAATTTTATTTCTTTGTTAAATAATGTAGTTTAAAATCTGTATTATGTATCTACCACACCTAGCCATGAAACCTTGCTGCTGTGTAACTAACTGGCAGATACTAATGCACTGATACCTCTAACTATGATTGAAAAATGCAGTGCAAGTCCCATCCTACTTAGGTTTAATATAAATTTTTCATGATGAAGTGTTTGAAGTAACAGGTAATGTGTAGATGAGGCAAGTCAAACTCATTATCTCAAGTGTGCCAAATAATCATTGATTGGAGATTAATATTTAAAAATGCATCAATAATGGATCACGATAACCAAGATTCCATTGATTACCCTACAAAAATATTAATAAAATTGATAGTTAATTGTTTATTTGTATAAAGTTGTATCATATAACTATAAGGAAGGAAATACTAGTACTTATTTAATGTATTTTAAAGATCAGTAATTATAGATTAATGATAAAGTTTTTATATTAAAAAAGAAATGCAGAAAACACAATTAAAAGTAATCCAAAGAACGTAAAACGAGGAACAGGTTGGATATTTTTGACTGAGGGAGATTTTAAAAATTAAATTAAGCAATTTTACGTGAGATATTTAAAAAAATTGCATCAATACATCAAGTGCAGCTTTCAAATTGATTAAAATGCACTTTTGTGCACTTAGAATCTGTGATCTTGTTTGTAAAAACCTGTGCAAATTAAAAATGTTAATGTTATAAAAATAATTAAGAATAACTTGGGATCCCTGATGTTCATGGTCATATATTATGTAAAGAAAACAAAATACCAGTTTTTCTATATCTGTATGATATAAATTTTTATTGCATTTTCTTTTTGATTTATAGTATATTAATAAGTCACTTTTGTAAACATTGTCCATGCTGTAATTAGTAAAACATGTTTCTAAACCATGTATTATGTAACTTGGTCCAGAATATTTTTTTGTACATTTTTTTTAATTGGGGTTTTTTATGGCATATGATGTTAGTATTTTTTTTTTTTTTTTTTCTGGAAAGAATTCTGGATGTCACAATATGGAATCCCAGTTTGAGAAAATATATTTTTTAACAATTTTTTGGGTAAGTCTATAAATAAATAAACTGGACAATTGTGAGTATAAGCAACTCCAGTTTTTTTTTCCAATAATCACAAGGAATTACATTTTAATAGAATTTTAATATTATTTTATTATAATTTTTGAGTCATTCCTTGGTAACTTAGTCCATTGTGAGATTAAAAAAAAAAAAAAAATTAAATGAAACATCTAAAGATAGTTCTCACTAACTTGCCCCCCCACTTAAGAATATTTTTTTTTCTAAAGCCCCCCCCCCCATTTTTTTTTACTTGCGAATCTGAAACAGCTGTTGCCACAATTATATTTAAATGTGTAATATTATAACTATAGTCATAGATAGGATATGACCTATCCTTATCTGAGATAAAGAAGAGTTCAACAGAACATTAAATCATACTTATATAAAAGTATTTTTTATAGCATCAAGCTATGATTTGAACCATATTTGCTTGTAAGATGCACCCCTTTTTTACACATTTTGAGGATAAACTAATGATCATTAAGGAATTAAAATATTTTAAATATAAAGTTATACAAAGTAGAATTTCTGCAAATACCAAACATCTGGGAAAGAACCCCTTTTAATCTTCTTCCTAATAACCCAGACACTTATCTCCAGCTAAATGAAGAGTCACTTGAAACCTCTTCTAAATCAGCACCTAAGTCCTCATACAACAAATTATCCTCTGTGCCCTGTTTCCATGTTCTTTAGTTTACGCAATCACTTGTAACTTGTATGCTATGTGATAACAATGTCGATGTTGTTTTTGAGCTATAACTTGCCAACAAATTTTAGGAAATTGAACAGTAGAAATTTCATAATCTTAAAATTCGTTCACAAAAATTGGAAAGTTTAAACATCAGCTGTGATTGTCGATGACAGCGCATGGGCATTCACTGAACATTATGTAACTAATATTCACATGCTTTGCAAGGAAAGAAGAAAAAATCATATATAATAAAAAACTGAGTATCGATGTATAAGACGTAGTATCGATCGAGGTATAAAGGCCTGTCCACACGACTGAGCTCGGAACGTAGCTGACGAAAGCGCATTTATGTTACCAGCGAAACAGCGTCCAAACAAGTATGCTAACGAAGAGTGTGTTTAACCAAAAGAATTATTTGGGACAAAAAAATCACATGAAGCTGTAACACAGCATTGTTTTCTTGGTCAATGGAGCTGTCATCCTGTTTCTTTGCTGTGTTTCGATATGTTTGCGGCAAGATGTCGGAATCAGATGATTTTTTGATAGCTGAAACTTTACTATTAAGTACAGTCATTAAGCAGAGGCAAAAAACAGTGAGAATGCATCTGAAAGATTTATTTAGAGTTCAAGGAGATTGTTTTTTCTTTACTGCCTTGTTTGCGAAATGAATATCCTGAATTATTTTTCAATTACTTTAGGATGAGTATTGGCCGATTTAACAGACCTTGCAGATTCTATATTGTATAAAATTAAAGATTATAAATTGGTTGGAATACTATTAAAGAATTAATTACTTGAAAACCATCCACCAATAAAAAAATCAACCTCCATTTTCATCTTCCCCTCTTTGGTTTGTTTATGTGGGTGTGGGAGTAAGTGTAAGGATCTCCCTCCTTGGTTATGCTTGTTATGTGTGTGGGGAGTACGGTAAAGGAATCGGTAATAAGAACATTCTATAATTGATATTTTCTGTATATATACAGAATAAATTAGAGAAAAGTTCATCCAATAAAATTTCTAAAGATATGCTGTTTTTAAATATTTTTAGCAGTGTGACATTAGCCCAAATGCTCTCAAAATGTGTATGTGCCTGTATACGGAGATGTATGTATGTAGGTATGTGTACGGGGAGAGGGGGAGGCAACGCCCATTTCAGCATAATATAAGATCTGAAAGCTTTCAGATATTTCTTTTTATTTATTTTTGAATTTGGAATAAGGTTCAAACTATGGAATTTTTTTTGAAATTATGTGTGGGATAAAATATGTAATAAGGGAAAAATATAGAGGTAATTTATGCAAGAGATGCAGATATATCATTATATAAAGGGTAATGGTTTCTATTTGCAATGCACATTTTTAAACTAAATTAAAAACAATAATAATAACAGATAAAGTGAGAATATAATGATTCATGATTAAATAATAAGAAACATGTTTAAAAATGAGAAAAGCTAACTTTCATTTGCAGTGGGTACAGGTGAGGTTCAAACTCGCAACCTTTCCCTTTGCAGTCCAGTACGCTGACCACTCAGCTATCTGTGACAGTAGTTTTTGGGGAAAATAATATAAGATGTAGAAGTCAATGCAAAGGTAATTTAATTAAAATTAAATAAATGATTGCTGTATGACTCAAGTTGTAACTGTCCTCGAAAATTTCATAACTGTATTTTATTGAATGCTCTTTCACAGTCAAGTGCTTTATTTTAGAAGTGGTTATATTGTTGAAGTTATTTTTTGGTGTATTTAATATTGGGATATTTATTGAGCTTTTTGTTACACATGAAATAGTGAACATTTATAATAATTAAGGAGAATTTTGTAAGGCAGAAAGTTTGATTTCGTAGATACTGTAATTTATTTAGGTTCCTATTTCTTACGGTATTACTTACGGTGAAGCATATGGATATACATTTCTGGATCATTGCTTTATAAATATGCAATTCTTTCCCTTTAAGGAGAATTTGAAATTTATACTGATGTATATGATTTGAAAAATCTGAGGATGCGATAAACAATGCTGATTATTTTATTGCTGTATGTAGTTACAAGCTCTTTAAGCAAAATCTCATCTCTATGTGGTTTTGATGCCATATCCGATTCGAATGGTCATGGCAGGAATATCATGCGGAGCACAACGTCTCCTGCTTGATGACGAATGAGGCCTATAAGGCACTTCATTTTAGAAATGCCGGACGAGTAAATTCCAGAGGGAAGAATCCTGAGGTGCAAATGCTGTATTGAAATGGGTAAGCAAGAAGATTTTCTGATTATTACCTGTGATAAGAACTCACTCAGCTATTGGCTGTTCGGCCACATTGCGGACGAAAAAGCTGAACATGAGCAAACTCAGTTTTACGTCTTCTGTGTAATGCGAATTTACGGCGGTTGAAAAAAATATACATCAACTACGTCGCGAGCACATTCTTGTGGGCAGACCTTAAGACACACCCCATTTTTCAGACCTGTTTTTCGAAGGAAAAAAGTGTATCTTATACGCAGGCAAATACGGTACTTATCTAATGATGCATTTTAAGGAGTTTGTTAATATCAGGCTCTATTTTACTTAGAAACAACCGTTAGTTTCCGCATTTAGTAACATGAAGCCAGTTTCTCTTTTTAGTTACCAACGTTGTTACAGCACTAAATTCAAATTCAGCTAAATAGGAAGATGGAAATGCTATCAGAAATCGTTGAACAATCAACCATAATCCTGTGTACAGTTGCAAAATCGGCTTCTGCAGCTAAAAATTCTTTGTAGCCATTCTTGAATTTAATTTTTAATTCTTCATTTGTCTTCAGTTCTATTAGTTCTTCTGACTTTAATGATCCTGCTGTGTTGACATTTGAAAAAGGATCCAAAACTCAGTCTGGTGTGTTCATGTTTAGAACGACCTGGCATATCCATGTTTAGAATGTCCTGGAATTGTTCCTTGAAATCATTGTGGAGGTTTTCCAAGTGTTGACAGTAAACAAGCAGGTTGTCCTGCTTCAATGATACTTCTGATAAATTCGGGAAGTTATTGAATTCGCATCTGCCAATATTTCTTTTGTATAACAGCACTTTTGACATGAAAGCAGCAATGCTATTTTTTGTCTTAATCACGTTTAAATTGTCGCCTTGAAGTTGTAGATTAACATCATTAAACAATTTATACAGGTTTGTCAAATATGCAATATCATTCTTTGATGGGATGATGTTGTCATGCTGTTCTGTGTCTTTGTTTCCTAGGAACTCTATCACAGTCTCAAACAGATTGTTAAATCGAGTCAAACAAGTACGTTTTGACAGCTAGCGCACCTCTGTGTGAAGCAGCAATCTCTTGAAATCTTCATCGTTGGCAGTGCAAAGCTGACTAAATAATCTGTCATTCAACGAGTTAGTTCTTATTTAACTGTTGTGATAACATATTGCAGTGACGTATGAAGACGTTCACTCAGATTTTTTCAAATTGGTAGCAAAAAGTAGTTCTTGACATATTTTTAATATCTTTGATAAACTTCATGTATGACAGTAACAAAGCTACGTTGGTTGATTAAGTGCACTTATCCAGCTAAATTGAAAATCGACAAGTCTGCAGATGATTGCACAATAATTCTTCAATGTTTTCAACCATCTCATCAATTCATCTTTGCACAGAATTATTGCTCAAAGGAAATTTTCCGATAATATCTGTAGCTGATTTATGGAGCACAGTAGTTATTACTTCTTTCACTGCCGGTAAAATTAAATCTTCCTCAATAATATGTGGTTTGCCTGTTTTAGCAATCAACAATGAGATACTGTACAAAGCTCGAAATCCATCATCGTCTTACATAGAAGCTGATGAAAAAAAGTTTTAATATAGTTGGCTAAATTGTGTACTTCTTTTTCATGTCTTGGAAATAGTTCACATGTTTGTCTTTCTTATTCGGGTGTATTTTATTAATATGATCTTGAAGCCTAAAAGGTTTCATCGCTTCATTTGAAAAAGTTTTTTGACAAATAAGGCACATTGGCGATGTTTCAAAATGGGATTTTCAATAAATCCGTATTGAATATAATCCACACTATACTTCCGACTCTTCATTTTTGCTTCCGATATGGTTTTTACTGTACAGATACGTGAGTAGTAGTAATGAATGTTAGAAGTATCCAAATTAAGGGTTAGTTATTATAAAATATATATACTGTGATAGCTGTGACAAGCAATGTGACATTCAGAGAGTGTTAACAATTAGCTGGTAAACACTGTTAGCTGGTAAAAGCAATTAACTGATCACAAGCTGGTAAAAAAAAAAAAAAGTCCCAAAGACAGTTGTTATTAATTAACTATTTTCATTACCCAAAAATGCGTGACAAACAAAGCAAGTTCTCAACTAAATGTTTCCTTTTCCATGGGAAAAACTGGTGTTAAGCTGTTAAGCACCTTGCAGGAGATCCACTCATGGAGACACAAAAGAAAGACTTTGAGAGTGCTAAAAGTTGCATGGAGAACTGTGATAGATGTGCTGTGAATAGGGCACAGAGATTGCATCCGCAGAAGCGAATTGTCTGCTTTGATTTATTCAGTGCTCTAATGCTAATTTTAACATAATTCATCTTTTGTGTAATCAAGAATTGTTAAGTATTCATTAAAAATAAAAAAGGCAACCTGTCCGTTTAGTCTCCCATCTTGAGTAAACTCGGCAACGTTACAGTACTAGAGAGCTCTCAACCGTGAAAAGATCAACTTTTAAAACTCTGTCATCAATTGCACATGTGAATGCTAATGAAAATAAAATTAACAATCTTTATCTTTGTGTAGTTGGAGACATATAACACGCATTGACAGGAATAAGATAAATATGCAAGAGACTCGTATTTAACACATGGAAGTAAAGTGTGGGAGCAAGGATGATGCAGTAGCAGAGTGCGGGTTAGAACAAGCACAGATAATACCGTCAATTCCTGCAGGATTGCAAAAATCACATTATTTAACAAAAACTTGCTATAACTGAAGTGCTACAAGCATATTTTTTGCTGTTTTTATTAACAGGCTTTCGTTAAATTTACCTGTTTTTATGTATGAGATATTTCACATAAAATTGGATGATTTGAAAATTTTTAATTCAAATCTAAAATTTAAAATTTTTACGTCATCTAAGTTAATGTAGATCTGATTGCAGTGGAATCTTTAATTTCAATTTTCGTCCACTTCAAGAATTTTTGCGCACATCATGAAAATGATTAAAATACATACAATAACAAAAATTAACCAATATTGGTGCTAGTTCAGTTTTCTATCTTCTATCTAGCTGAATTCTTGTAGTATACTAGATTGAGTTGATTCTTATATCATACTTTATTGGGTATATTGATATCCTGTTGTTAACAGTGTAATCTCTCCCTAATACAAGTGAATATGTTCTGTTTCTTGAATAATGAAAGAAAATGCAGAGTTAGTTAACATGTGGATATTATTTTCTCTAATATGGGGCATTTTGATAATAAAGCATCAAACTTATTCAATTCTAGAATAAATTAGCCATTGGTTCAGAGCACAATGTTGATTTCCATAATTATGAAATGCTGTATTATTGCATATTGATTGTGCTTTTCCAAAATATTTTTGTTTTGCAATAGGTATGCTGTTCACATAGTAATTTGCTAGTTCTTTTCTTTTTTTAGTTTTTATGTAAAATTTATCAAAATTTTAGAATTGTTAATTATTTTTAAATACAACTCCAAAGAATTTATTTTTTAAAAAAAATTCCATGTAGGATATCAAGAAAAGAGAAAACGAAGACAAAATTGAATCAGAAGCAAAACAGCCCGCGGAATTTATTGGTTATGTTTTTCAAATATGAGAATATTTATATATGCTTAGTAAAATTAACAAAATTAAATAATTATGTTTATTAAAATTTATGGAAAGTATAGCTTTATAACTACTATCAAAATAATATTCAGCTCTTTAAATTACTAATTGTATTTATTTTTTGTATCAGTATTTATCCTTGTGTAAGCAAGGTGCATTCTTGTAATTTCTAGCTGAATCAATTTTTTAAAATGCTAAATATATAAAAGGTTTATTATCTGATTACTGCTTAAGGTATTTAGAATTCAGACATTTTACTGCAGGCAAATAACTTTAACAAAAAATATTCATGTTATTTTGATATTGCCTTCAGTAAATAAATGCTCTAAATGTTGCATGTATGTCACAGTTAAGCAAAATATGTGCTGTAAATTTAAAATATTTCTGTATTATGCACTCTATAATGTATTAAAAATTTAATTTAGTTCTTATGCAGAGAATATGTGTCTGTAAATTAAAATTTTGCTATATTTTTATATACATGTATAATGTTATAATTAAAGTATTTTTAATTTGGATTCTTTTCTATACATTTATTTCTTATTTTTCAGAGTTGAGTCTCCTCCATTGGAAGAAAATATTCCACTTACTACTCAAAATCCACCAGATAATGAAAACAAACCTAGGGTATTGTTTTCTGGACTTTTAAATATTAAAGAATATGCTAAGTTAAAAAGGCTTTTGAGTTAATGAAAGAATTGTAGATATAAATGTAGTAGTAATAAGATCAGAATGGCCAAGTTTTATACTCAAAAAGATCCTTCAAAATATTTAATTAGATCAGCGGTTCTCAATTTTTGGAATAACGTACCATTAACAAAAATTAAGCTGAAGGCCATGTAATTTACAATGTTATTTTTCAACTTCTCATAGAAATATTAAAAAAAATAAGTAAAATGGTTCCATTTTGTTAGCAAATTTAGTTTAATACCTATCTAAACTAGTGTGAAGTTTGGGCTTGTTTAAGACAGATAATTTTTTTTGCCTGTGTATTCACTTAACTTTAACCAAATTAAAATCACTTTTGTTTCTATTTCTTTTTAAACTTTCACACAGGCACTTTATTAAGACCGTGCGGACGAAGGGAATCGAATCAGTCACCGTACGGAGGAGGTTTTCATCGAGCCTAAATTTTAAAAAAAATCAGAAAAAAGTTTCACTTCTCGCCTTACATTTTTGGTTCTTTTAGATTATTCTTGACTCTTATATATTTAAGATTGGCACTATTTAACGTTTTTTTTTTTGTTTTTTTTTGTTATTTACATGAAAATATACTAAAATTCCTTATTTGTAAAATAATTTTCGGAAGCTATTCAAATTATTCCCAAGTTTTTAATTGATAAAATCCCAATACTCAAATTATAAAAAAAACATAAAGCCTATTTACAGTAAGAAGTAACAAAATTTAAAATGAAGACTGTGGTAAATCTCGAATCACGGAAAAGTATCACTTTTTAAATCTTTAGAAAAAGAATCATCGCTCTCATCTGCATTAGTAAATTAGTAAATGGTTCATTAACCATATGAGGGTATTCTTCCTCTGATAAATGGTGCCTTCGCGCCATAATAGACAAGAGGTGAGACTTCCAGAAATAAAAGGAGAAAAAACGGAAATACATCTGAAGTCAATGCTGGGCTGTTTAGTAACTATGAAAGACCGTATATAGTAAAGGAAAAAATAGAATTAAAAAAGGAATTGGATATATCTCATACACGCGAATATTTACATTAGCACACGGCAATTTAAAGAGCCACTTCTTTTACGCTTTCTTCCCACCCCACCTCACAACATTTATGATAAATACCAGTCAGACAATATATCAACTCAGGTCAGGACCTAAAACAGTGTTCATTTCAAAAAAATGACATAATGCCATCAGTGGCCTCGCAAACGTTCCAAGCTTAAATGCATATACGAATCACCTCATGATGAGTCTCTAGCGATGCGTGGATGGGACGCCCGGCTGTAAGAGCGTTATCAGGGATGGTATATGTGACGCTGCTGAAAGGTTAAAATAAGGCATGGAAGAAATAATTGTCACACAACATTTCTGCAAAAGGCAAATTTATAGCTTAGGGAACCACACTTTAAATTCTTTTTTTTTGGGGGGGGTTGCGAGTTACAATGTGTTATTTTTAAATCTTCAGATAGAGTTCATGACAGGAATTTTATCAATTTCCTTTCTTCATGAGATTTAATTAGTAGTTAAAAATAATTTAAATAATTAATTTTAATAATTTAATAGTTAAAAATACTTTGTTTCTTTGCATACCATCTATTTTCTCTTGCGTACCACCGACTGAGAATCGCTGATTTAGATTATTAAATGCAAAAGTTTTGATTTATGGGTAGTAATTTAATACTGTGTATGAAAACTTTTTCTGAGTATTTTGATAGACTTTGCCCTCTAAAAGTAAAGGAACAGCATGTTTTTTGTGTCCAATTTGAGAATGAAGCAACATGGAAACAAGAAAAGTTCAACACAAATATGAATTACAACAAAAAATTGTGCTCTTGGCAGGGAAGTCCAGTTTTTAAGAAACAGTATATCACAGTTTTTTGAGGGGAAATGGGGTGGTAACATTACAAAAATGGGTTCTAATAAGGAATTTGTTTACCCCTAGCTGCAATGCATTGGCAGCAGCAGCATTACATGCTGTCAATTAATTTGTCGGTCAGTGAAATGGGAAGCAATGACCAGACACAGAGTATCCTATTCAACGCACTAAACCTGGGGGTAAATAGCAATTTGTCTCATGTCCCCAAGATGTCTATCGGATTAGGTCTGGAAATTGAGCTGCCATTCCATTTCTCCATACTTGCCTCAGATATTCTTCAGCATCCAGCTCGGTAGTCGCACATCGCTAGAATTAGGGAAGGCACGAGATCAACATTTAGAGGTGGCAAATTTTTTAATTGGGAGGTGTATTGTCAGATTAGGCCTGTGGGATGCAACTGGCTAATGACTTAGTAGCGAAAGTATGGCTCTAACTTGGTAGCAGTTGGGATTTTTGGCGATTTTTGGCGCATTTTTTACATCGTCACCATCTTGAAAAACGCTGTTTTTCATAGTAAGTATTCAAACTTTAAAAAAAAAAATACCTTTAAAAATAATGGATTAATTTTGTTGAAATGTCGTTTTTAAGATGCAGGCAAGGTAAATAAATACATTTATATGATATAAGTACTAAAGTAGGCTATTTTACTTTCATAACAAAAAAGAGAATAAAACACGCTATAAAACATTGTGCCAACATTAATAGATTAAAATATTATGAATTGAATATGAATTAAAAAACCTCCTACACATTTAAAGAATTAGAATATTATTAAACTTCAATACTTTAATAGTTATATAAATTATTACCATAAAACAAGTGACAAAAATTATCTCAGCATTTTTGAAATATGTATAATTTTTTAACAAAATTGAAGTATACAATTAAAAAATAAAAAAAAATGTACTTACATTTTTTTTGAGTAATTTAACCTCTTTTGATGATAAGTACCACAAAAAAATCGAAATAATTGAATCGGATCTTTTAACCATTCTAATCTGTTATCCAAATATCTCGCATTCATGAAGAAGCAATTAGCGAGTTTCCTCCAAAATTTCCCTGAATATTAACAATTTAAATAATCTTTGATTAGGAAAGACAGGTTGGCCAAAATAAAGTCAAAAGGCAATTTTTTTATTCCAATACCAATAATTCTTGGTAATTACCAATAACAACATTCGTCTTCAAAACGGAGATATCTTCCATTTGAAATCCGAGGAATTCGAAGAGATGAATAAAATTTTAAAATGGCGCGGTAATGCACAAATATTCAGTAAACCAATCAGGGAGCTAATCTACATCACGCATAAATTAAAATTATTTAATAATCATTCTACTAAAATCATTTTTAAACAAATGCAAAATTAAATTTTATTTTAATATTTAACAGCCATAAATAATGTTTAAACATTAGATTAAATTATAGATTTAATAAAACCAATTACTTTTTAAGTAAGGTGAGGTCATCATCCAACGTAAAATTATATAAAATATTAAACAACAAAATTTTTATTTCAAATAAAAAATGTAAAATTAAATGATTTTTAATATTTAGAAGCCATAAATAATATTTAAAACACGGAAGTTATGCATAATAAAAAGCATTATTTTTTTAATAAAATGACAACAAAGTATCGGTTACCATAAATAACGTATCTAGCAATGAGTTTACCATAAGTTATATTACTCGCCAAAAGGCAAATCGCCAAAATCCATGCAACCGTCTACCAAAGTAGCACCGAATTTATTTATTCGAGATTAGGATAAACTTAAAGTGTATGCAAGAAACAGGCGTTGTAGAGTCATTAGGTTATTTCGAAGAAGGAGACATGAAAAATGAGCAGTGCCCTCGCCGGGACTCGGACCTGTTGAATATGTGCCAAGCGTGCAGACCATTACACCATGAAGGCTGGAGAAATTCCTTATATACTCCCCCTTTAAAAAGGCGACTAGATTTGGCAATTAGGCTGCCCAGTCGCCAAATCCTGGTGATGGAGAATCATCATCCACAATCATTTTTTAGTTCAGGTACCATTGCAGAGTTATGTAAAATTTTCTTGAGTCAGGAAATTGAAGAAATGACCAATGCCCTCCCCAGGACTCAAACCTCGGACCTCTCGAATACGCGGCGAGCTTGTTGACCATTGCATCACGAAGGCATGCTAAGAAGGGGAGAAAATACCTTAAGTGTAAGTATAATAAATCACTAAAGTAATAAAATTCTGGCTTAACATCATCAGCATGTGTTAGAAGCAAGACAAAATTCAGTTGAACAATATGTTTTTAGTCACCAATCTCATGATACATTGCCAAGAATACATAGCAGATTCTAGCTAAGTTTTATGATGGTAACTGTGAATTTGAAGATTTTTAGGTATTGCAGACAAAAAGTAAAATTTTCCAATTAATGAGATTCGGGGGAAAATGTAGAGAAGTGGCAATAAATGAAGAAAATTTTTTCATTACGGTGACAGTGTCCTTATCATCAATCAACTAACAGGATTGATGATAAGGACACTGTCACCGTAATGAAAAAATAATGAAGCACTTATGACCTTAATGGAATCAAAATTTACACACACTCATACACACACAAAAAAGGGAGGGAAGTGAAATTTGCAGTAGGGTTCTAAATCTAGAAAATATTGCTACTATTAGTGAGGAAAGTGAAAAAGGTTGTTGCAAATGAAAAAATTTCAGCTGACAGTATGGTGGAATTTCTCTACACAGCAATAACAGGAAAGGAATAAGGAAACAAACAAATATTGAGCCTTTGTACCCCTCTCTTTTTTGTGTGTGTAAATTTTGATTCCATTAAGGTCATAAGTGCTTCATTATTTTGTAAATCACTGTTTCATATTTTTAATTTTATAATTTCCACTTGTTAACTTACTAGATTTAAATTGATGATCTAATATCTAGAAATATCCCACATCTGTAATTGCCAAAGTCCTGATGAGTCCAGATCTCGGATTTTATATTGTATAATGCTTTAACCTCTATATTTAAAGAAGAAATTCCTTCTCTGTATGCTAAGACTACAACTTTATTGTGATAAAATCTTGAAGGTTGCAATTCCATCAAAACTATACATTGAAATTTACTGCTAAATTTCATGTTGGGGGGCTTTGCTAAAGAAACAGGTTATTAAATTTGTATTGTTTATATTTCTGCAAACTCCTCTGATGATTTCATTTGTTTTTATTTAGACTATAATAAAAAGTGTTTTTCAAATGCAGACTTAATATATTGGATGCATTGTGGAAAGTGCAGAAAAAAGCATGGAGCAGATTTATTACTGCCATGGAGACCATTTTTATTTTAGAAATTAGTGCATAGATTGATAGTTTAAAGAAAGAACCATTAAACAGAACATTTTTGCAGAGAAGAATTTTTTAAGCTTAATTTATGATTTAGAAAATTCATACTAAAAATGGTTATATTCTGTCTGTATATATAAATCATTTTTATGTGCAGACTTTTATGCAGGCTTGATATAATTTAAAAATGGGGTATGTTCTTTGTGCCCAGTGATAATTATCATTTTGGAAACAATTTAAAATCATTTGTTTGAAATAATTTTCTGGCTAATTTGGTTGCATTAAAATCATTTCATTTATTGAAAACTTAAGACTGTAATAATGCTACTTTTATGTATTATTTGGGTGTTGGTTGCTCATGAGCTGCCTTAGTATGCTTTTTACTGTTATATGAAACTACAGTTGTGTTTTTACCCCCTTTCCTATTATAAATTTTTGCATTTTTTTAGATTGTGTGCCAGCTTGGAGGGTGTTTGGCTAAATCACCTGTAGAAAGCACTCATCTTGTCGCTAATCAGTATGTTAGGACTGTGAAATTTCTTTGTGCTATTCATGTTGTGAAATATGTTGTTACTGTAGACTGGCTGAAGGAATGTGAAAAGCAGAATCAATTTGTAGGTAAGTGGGCTGAAAGAAAAACTTATCTTTACTATTAAATAATGAAGAATCTGTATGTTCCTTACATTACAGAAAAACAGCAGAACCTAGAATCACCAAATTTTGAATCCATGTTGTCTTCCACTCAAACGTGTGCATCTTGAAGCTGGAATTTGAAATTTGATTTATTTCATATTTTGTACAAATTTAAGGAAATTATATGAATATTTCATCAGTAAACTCAGTGATTTGAAAGGAAGATAGTGGCAACATTGTTTGATATAAAACATTTTTATCTACAATGCATGAGACTGTTGCCATTCAGCAAAATGAAAGCTATGAGTTTCTTGATTTTATTCAACAAACTGAAATGAAATACTTTGATCTTCGATGGCCCAATGTGTTGCCCTTCTTTAACATTCCTTCCTTTATATTTCGCTTTTTTTAAAAATCAAAATTTAATCTCTGATACTCAGTAACAAACCAAGCAACAAACACAGATTTTTTTTCAGAACGTTGTTCTGCTTTTTAATTCACTTCATTTAGAAAAAATATGCTTAAATGGCAAGATATGTTTAATTAGAAATATTAAATGTTTGACAGGGGTTGGACAAAAATATAGAAACACCTTTAAAAAAACATGTTTCTTTGCTTAACCCTTTGTGACACGCATATTTAAAATATATTTTAATCTTTAAAAAAATGCCTTAGAATAAGTCAGATGGACTTACTTAAGTGCCTTTAAGGCTTGAAAAAAATTCTGCGCTTTTATTTTTTACGGTAGAAGGTGGGATAGCGTTTGTCCCACCATGCAACTAGCACATGTCTTATAGCATAATGGTGTATAGCAGGAAAAAAAATTATGTGGAATGAATAAACAAATAAAGCGTGCATTCAAAATATTCATATAAACACACTAAAATGCATTTTGTACTTATTGCATTATGCATGACTTGTAAAATTTGCATATGCACATTTTGCCATATATTATATTTAATATTTTTAAATTATAGGAACAAAGAAAATATTTTCTTGAAATTTTTTTTAGATTAAAATTTGATACTCTCATATGATACTAATAAAATATCAAATTGTCATTTAATTCAAAAAACATTTATATATGATTAATTGAAAAAAAGTCATTTTCATAAACTTGAAAAAAATGTTGTTTCATTTCTTCTGTAAGCATCGAGGCACTTCACATGTTTCACACATCCAAAATGTTCGTCGTTCTTCTTTCGATAGCTGCATATGCACATCTTCTCCTGCTCGTTTCTCTTTGGCATTTTACTTACATTTTTTAGTCTCTTTTTTGGTTGTACGAACGGGTTTTTAGTTTTTATTTGAACTGGGGATTTCAGTTTTTTTTAGCTCTTCTTGCCTGCAAGTGCCATTAGCCTTCTGTAACTGAGAGAGAAGAAAAATCTTTCATTGTTTTTACATCATGATCAGGTTCACGAACAAACTTGAATAAATGTGTTTACTATACTCGCATCTAAAAAAAAAAAAAAAAATCATGTGCCACCGTTTCTTGCTTTTGCGGTCTATTTCATATAGTCCTTTCAGTTGATCATCAGTCGACATATCCCTATTCTTATTGTATGAAATAATGCTGTTTGGCTCAGTACTTTTTTTTTTTTTTTTGTCTCTCCATCTCATTCTTTCTATTAATTTCTTTCATTTCAGTGCCTTGTCCAAGCAAGACAGAATAGAAACGGATCTTTTATCCTTCAATTTTCTGCAATAAATTGAATAATTGCTAACTGAAAAGTCTATATTTCCTCTCGATATAAATTTGTCTTCTTTTAAATTTTTGGGAAGATACTTCCGACCCATATTTACAGTGCCACATGCATAGATGTGGGTCTGTGTCTTTAAAGAAATAAATTATAACTACTTCCCTTTCTTCTTCAGCAATAACTTCAACCTCAGTTATCTCTCCTGGATATCAATTTCATCTGAATCAGAACTGACACTGAAGCATTGAGTCGCATCGGATGGCAATTCAGCAAAAGATCCAAAGCTTCTGAGTTGTTAATTTTTTCTAGACATTTTAGCACATCAGAGCATACAAACGGATGTAAAGCGCGCACAATCATGAAAAAATAGATGCAAAAAAGAAAAGAAAAAAATAATCTTGAGTGCTGCATCTATTGAGTGGAAATTCAAGTGTGTGGTGGGACAAATTTTAACCCACTATTTCAACTGCAAAATATTATAAATATAAAATATTGAATCCATTACTATTTTTGAAAATAAAATACCTTTGAATATTAAAAGAATCATACATATCATAAATTGTATACCCAATTTTTAAAATATTGAAAATGCGAGATACATGGATATCACTCTTGTGATCCTATTTGAATATTTTTTGCTTATAACTTAAGCCCTGTATAGTAGTAACATCTACTGAGAAAAATAACAACTAAAATAGATTATTTTTAGAAGATTAGAAAAATTCTAACGGAAATTGCTAATGAGAAAAAATATTAATTGGTGGGAATATATTGACCCCCCATGCCGCAAAGGGTTATATGGTGTAGAACCGTTGGCATCCAAACAGCTTGCAGTTTCTCGGAATGGATAAAACAGTTCCTGTTGTTTGTCAAGGGATATTATACCATTCTTCCTGCAAAACGGTGGCAAGTTCAGATAACGATGTTGCGGTGGATACGAGAACGCACTTTCCGTTCCATGTAGACCACAAAGGTTCGATAATATTCAGGTCTGGTGACTGTGGTGGCCAGGGGAGATGGGACAACTCATCCTCGTGCTCAGAAAACCAGTCCTGGACAATGGGAGCTGTGTGAACAGGGCTTTGTCGTCTTGGAAGACACCATCACCATCGGAGAACAAAGTTTGTACCATGGGATGAACTTGATCGGCCAAAAATGTTTAATAAGTCTTGCAGTCATGTGCCCTGACACAGATCATGGGGCTAGCAGAGAGCCAGGATATTGCTGCCGAAACCATAACAGAACCCCCGCCATGTTTCACTCTTGGCAACAAGTAGTCTGTATTATAGGCTTGAGATGGCGTTCTTCGACTAAACTCGCCAGAAGTGGAAAACAATGTGAAAGAAGACTCGTCAGACCACATTACTCGCTTCCCTGCTCTATAGTCCAGGCTTTGACTTAAACACACCTTCCTGTTACGGGCATTGCATCACTGATGAGTGGCTTCTCAATTGCAGCACGGCCAGCAATTCCCTGTTATGAAGCTCCCTCTAATGTTTTGGTACTCACAGGGTTCGTAACACAAACATTTCAGCAGTAATTTTGCAGCTGTGGTCTTTATTTTCGTCAGAAGCTTAATGATCGTCTGTCACGATCACTCAGGACACACTTTCGTCCGCACTGTGATTTAGCAGATGATGTTTTTCCACTTTCAATATGTGGAATAAATCTTCGATACAGTACCTCTCTGAAACACTAACACCTCGGCTACCTTGCTAACGGAAGCACCTACCATACGTGCTCCAACAGTTTGCCCATGTTCGAAGTCTGTTAACTCTGACATAATGCAATGACAACCTCACATAACAATACTCCGACAACAACTGAACTGTTTATCACATTTACGAAGTTGTATAGGTGGCGTCAGTAGTCAAAAACGCCAGCGCCACCTACATATTTCATTAAAATCAATCTTTCTTTTCAAACATGCATTTCACAAGGTGTTTCCATATTTTTGTCCATCCACATTCATGTAGTATGTGATCTACTGTTTTAATTACTTAGTTTATTTATAGCTGGTATTACTGAAAGGCTATTTTTGAATATGGAAATAACTAAATGAAAAGGATTCCATAATTTAACTGATTGATTTTTTAATTCAACTATTTAAAACTTTAAATTACTTGCTTGCGATTTTGGTGAGTTTTTTTAAAAAAAGATAGCCAAATCATTCATATTTATCATGAGCTGTTTGTAAACTAATTGCTGTGGTATGATAAATTCTTTCTGGTAACTAATGAAAGAATATTTTATTTATAATCAGAAGCTAGATAGGAATGTAAATATGTATTAATTTCAATTATAAATATTTGCATTTTGTTTAATATATGAAAAATATTTATTCTTTTCTAAATAGTAATAAATATGTTCTGCCCTTTTCATGAATATTTTGTAAAACCAAAAGTATGTATTCCAGCTTCAGTAAGCTGAAAATTAAAATATGTACATTAATTATGTAAATAATGCATATTGATTATTAGGATATTGATTTTATGAATTATAAATAATAAATATGATTTGAAAGTTGAGAACTATTTTGACAATTGAGTATAAAAACAGTCATTTAAAATGAAAATAAGGCTGTAATTTCTTTGCTCATTAATGGTTTGTTGAGCTTATTTTCAGATTTACTTGCTTAATAGATCTGTTGTAGTTTTATCCATGTATTACTTTTATTAGGTCCAAATTATATCATACTTTGTACACAAATTAAAGATACATATTGATGTGCATCAAGGAAAAAAGGAGTAATAAAATACTTCTCTTGCTTTTTGAAAGGCTAGACAGTACGTTTCTTGACTTAATGTTTTTGGAATATGCATAACCTTGCCTCATGAATTTTTTTTTTTATTCTATTCAAATATAATGATGTGTCATTCTCACAATTTTTTAAATGCTGTTTACTTTCCAGCATAAATAAGTGTTTATATCTTTCCTCTTTTGCAAATGAATTAAATGCTTCATATTAGATTAATTAAATCAGCTACTCAGCAATTATAAAATTAATTCTAATTTAATGATATCTTGTTTTTATTGCTGTTACTTTGTTACTTTTTTTGGTACTATTTTTTACTTCTTGAATAAAATGTAGGTTTCTATTGAACATGATGAAAACTTGATTGTTTTATTTTTTATATGGATTTTCAAATGAAAGTCTAATATACTCATTAAAATTCAAATATGTTTGAATATTGTTTGAAATATTTGTATAAAGTATAAACTAATCTCGTGTAATTTTAGATGAAGAACCATATATACTTCAAGATCCCGAAAATGAAAAAACATATAGTTTTAGCTTGAAAAGTACATTAAGAAGAATAGATAGGACACCTTTATTTAAGGTAAAAATTTAGATATAGTTAATGTGATGCAAATTGCTAAGTCTTTTAATCTGATGTCATATTTTTTAATATTAATTTCTGCCATATTGAAATCTTTATACTTCTTCTCTATAATACATATAATACAGTAAAAGCTTGCCTAAAGGGACATGTCAAATGTCAGATATGTGAAAATTCTAGATAGTCTAGCATATAGCATATAAAATTGCAGTGCACAGTAGAAAAGCCAAATGAATGAATTAAAAAAAAATTCCAGTTTAAAATTATAAAAACAGACATTACGCTTCACACATTAAGATCGATTTATTTTCATATGTCTTAAACATATGAATGTAAAACATCTTATCTATTTACAAAATCCTGTTGGCCATGTGAGTTGACAGAGAAGCCACCAAATTTGTAGAATTATGTGTCCTTTCGACAGATGTTTGAAAGATCTAATCTCTAATTTTTTAATTAGGTAATCAAGAGACACAAGTTGTGGATGTAATGTATGGGGGGACTCACTTCTCATAGTTTTTTACATCGCATCACCTTTGTTTATCCATCTTCAAATAAATTTGCATATCATGTGCATTAACATATACTTTTGATGCCAGGATCCAATAATTTTGTAATACATGCTTATCCAAAATGAGTAGTAAGGTACAGTAGACATCAATTAAAATGGTAAAAATTAAATGTTATTATCTGAATGCTCTTATTAAACTGCCCAAATCCCACTGGTTTGTATACAGACCCTGAATCCCTGATGCTTTAAAGAAGTAAACAGTTTCCGAAGGACTACAGTAACTTCTTATGAATGCTTTTGAAATAGGATAACAAACCGAAGAATAATATTCTTTTTATTTACAACTGCACAGCATATAATGTAAATGTCTTTCATACGCGTATTGAAGTTATATTTTATTAAAGGATTATTAAACTGGATGAAAGAACAATATCAGTGTTATAGAGTTTTATAACATATATGATGTGTTATAAATGCAATGAATTAGGAAGGAAAATTATAACCTTGATTCACTGGATATTGTGAACATGTCTTGAAACTACATCTAAGAAAAGATAATAAAAATTTAAGATGTGGTGAAATAGAAACTGAAGAGAAAGTAATGTCTCCAACAAATATGGGTTGTTAAGAATTTAATGCTTGGATGAATATTGGTAAAAAATTAAAGTTTCAACATTGGTGACAAAAAAGTTACCTACCAGTAGCTTTGTGAAACTAGTTTAACAGGGTTCGTACGGTCCTTAAAAGTCCTTAATTTTGGCCAAAATGAATAAACAGTCTTTAATTTTGTTCATTTGACATTTCTTATCATTTCTAATGATTGTCATTCTATGTGTGAATTGCAATTTCTCATGAATATGGAATTAAAATTTCACGGCTGTTAACCAATCTGTTGGCCGATTTGCTTTGCAAATGATTTAAAAAAAAAAAAAAAAAGTTAGCTACCCGAACGAAAGTATCGGTGTCTGATTGCCTATTCACCCAATCTTTCGAAACAGGTGTTATCCATAAATTTAGGCAGATTGTGACGAAAGCGTGAAGCCGGAAGTTCTTTAAGAGGCGAAAGTGATGATAAAGGTGCTCGAGAAAAAAAAAGGGGGGGTATTCTGAAAATATTTGCCAAAATTAGAGCAATCCCAATCTGGAAAGCCACAACCCTTCCGACGCCACTAGGAACGAGATGCCTGGAAAGTGCATTTTCAATAAACTGTGGCTTAATCAAGCTGACTACGAAGACTGGATATTGATGGATGACAATCCTTATAAAGCTAAATGTGGTCTTTGTCTGAAACAAATTGAAATTTCTTTAATGGGAGAGTCAGCGCTGAAAATTCACATGAAAATTAAGTTTCATTTTATCATTTCAATTTGTTTTTACATGGTTTTGCTTAGCTTAATTTCTGTGTTTGTTTCAATTAAGCCATAAATTAATTTTTTATCACCTTCTACAGAGTTTATTCTCTTTTGCACATACTATATGTATGGGATATCGGGATTATGAGTTTTATTTCTGCAGAGCTTGTCTGTTATCGATTTCGCGGGAAATCTGTTGGCTCCATTTCGATTTTAGGTCGCCAAGGGCAAATTCGGTAACGCTAGCCAAGAAAAAGTGAAGTTCGGAAATATGTTTTGAAGCTTCAATAGACAATTAAGTATTTTATAAAAGGAATGCTGCTTTCAGAAGGTTATTAAATTTTAATCCTATGATAACATTCACCAAGTTTTGATCCAACCCCCCTCCCCCCCAAAAAAAAGCTGTTGTTGTAATGCATTATTTTTGCTAATGGCGATACAATTATTAGTTGAAAACAACCAGCTAATTTTAAAAAATTTAATTTTTTTAAAGCTGAAAACAACTAATTGAAACTAATTTTCCTGAATTAACTAGACGCAAAATGAACTTTCATGAATTACTAAAGTTATTGGGTAGAAGTTTAACTGAAAATCTGCTTTTACCGATGGTTGCAAAATGTCCCAGCAGTTGAAAGAGCCATTGAAATATGGGATGACTTGCTACTGTACATTAAAGAAGTTGAAATGCGGAAGTTTAAAAAAAATTCATTGAAATCCTTCTCAACTATTTTGGAGGCAACTAAACATAAAACATTTCTTATAAAATCAAATTTTTTTCTCTCTCTGTCGAAAATATTATTGCCTTTCCTTGAATATTATCACAGTGATAAACCACTTATTCCCTTTTTTGCTGACGATATCTTAAAACTTGTAAATGATTGCCTTCAGCACTTTAAAATTTTGTAACTAGAATAGTCAAAAATAACTAAAGCAGAAAATCTGTATAAATTTAATTTTAATGATCCAAACTGTTATAATGATAAAAAGTAAAGTTTATTTGGGATTCATTGCTGAGCAGTTAATGAATGATAAATGCCGCAAGAAGGACATTTCACAAGCTGAATGTTTTGCATTGAAACAAGAAGGTCAACAATGTGTCTTAACAATGGTACAACACTTAATGTCTAAATGTTCAATAAATTATTCTCTTATTTGAAATGCATCTTGTATAGACCCGTGATTGATGGTAAAAAGTCCAGAAAAAGCCCAGAACAAAATGAAAATAGTTCTAACGGTATTAATGCAGAATAAACGTGTTTTATAAGATGATTGGGATGAAATTCTGCTGCAGTTTGGTGAGTTTCTAGACAAAGTAGTTAAAACAAATTTACATGAATTTTCTACTTTTGATCCTCAAAAATCTTTCTCTTGACACATTTCTTACTTCTTATTTTCATGATTTTCACTATTCAAAAGTATGGAAAATAGTGAAAATGATTCTTATCTTGTCACATGGACAGGCCTCTGTGGAAAGGGGCTTCTCTGTAAATAAAGCAATTGAAATTGAAAATTTAAGTGATTCATCATACATTTTTCAACGCACAGTATTTGATTACATAAAATTTTCTGGAGGTGTTCTTAATATCGAAATTAATAAAGAAATGAGATCAGCAGCAGCTTCTGCAACGTCTAAATATATGCAGTATTTAGAATAACAAAAATCTTTAACTAAATCTGAAAATTCAAAGAGGAAAAGAAATATCATTGAGGAAGAAATTGATTATATGAAGCAGAAGAAAAAATTTCTTCAAAGGGACATTAAAGATATTAATGAAGAAGTAGATGCTTTAGCAGATGAAGCTGAGACCAGCATGAACATTGATTTGTTTATCAAAGCAAATGAACTTAGAAGAAAAGTTAAAGAAAAGGAAATAGACATAAATAAATTAGATGTTAAAATAGCTGAAAAGATTTCATATTTAAAAAAAGCACAAATGTTTTGTAACTTTTATTGTACAGTTATTCTAGTATATTCTAGTATATTATTCTAGTATCTTTCAAAAAACAAAGGAAATAAATTGTATGTTTACAAATCAGTTATTTTAATCTGCAAAATATTCTTACGTTGTGATTATAATAGTAGTTGACTGTGTTTAAATAGATATCAAATAAGTTAAATAATAATCATGTTAATCTCTAAAATAGTGACTGTTATTAGTGTTAAATACACTTATACATGTTTTTAAATAAATTATGTTCCTAATTTAATGTTATCTACTTCATAACTTGTAGGGAGTTAGTTTAATTTTCAAAATTGTTTTATGGTAAGTATTAAAGTGAATTTAATAATAGTGCATAATACACACTTCTGTTAGTTTCTTAAAGTGAAATTACAAGCATGAAGTCGGTTGTATGGATAATTGCGTTATTCTATTCATTTTTTTGTTTGCTGATAGGCCCTTAATTTTTTCTTTGATGTTCCTTAAAAGTCCTTAATTTTCATGTAAGGAAATGTGTACGAACCCTGTTTAAGCAAATCATATGTTAAAGGTACTGAAGAAAATGATGAAATTTTTTAGTATTTCCTGCTAATGCTGAGATTGTGGATCTAAGCATTAAGAATAGAGGTATATCATAGAGATACAGCAATAAGATTAGGTGTATAGCAGAAACATTATGAATAAGAATGGTTCACAATATAACTTTTGCATAACAATTTGCAACAATCAACTATTAATGACTTATTGATAATAAATTGCAAAATTAAAATGCTACAAAATATTTAATTGATTTTAGTTACATTTAAATTAAAATTGGAATTCCATTGATATTTTGATGGATGTTTTTTTCTTCATAGTTTAATGTTACCAAAGTAGCCATGGACAAATGTGATCTCATTAAGCGGTGCTTACTGTAAATTCTTACTTTTCTTTTCATAACCATCATTCCTGTGATAACAGAACAGGCATCACATATTTGATTTAAATAACTGTTAGTAGAATTGCGTTGTATGGAGAACTCTTGAGTATAAATGAATAGCATAAGCTTTAATGAGTCTTCATTTAAGACTTAATAGAATAAATGAACATATGTATGCCAATTTAGGAAAGTGAAAAAATAAGCAGAGACGATAGATGTTAACTTGAGCATGTAATGCTACTGCCTCATGTCTATCAGGTCCACATGGTCCCTTGACTTAAGTTTCTGTGCATTGCTACAATGTAGCTAATGGATGGACTGCTGCCATTGGAGTGTGAGATACCACGCCCAGCCATATCCTTATTGTTTTGGTTGACAGCTACATTTACATTAGCATCCTGTGCTTTAAAACACTGTATCATGATGGTGTGAACCGCAGCTACAACTGTGTCATGACGATTGACACATCAGTCTGACTTCTAGGGATTAAATACAGTTGCATTTCTTTTCCTTCTCAACACTGCGCTCAAACTGGAGGGAATGGACATTTACCAAGCGTAACAAAATATTTATTTTCCCACTGTACGTTTCCAGATGATCAGAAGGCTGTTGTTGGGTGTTCCTTGATCTATTACACCAAGATATTTTACTGTACATTTATTTACAATTTATTTACAAGCCATATGCCACCTGGCATGTTTACAAGTGGTATGCCTCCTGGCATGTACATGATACACATATTCTGCCACCTGGCATGTAAATTGATACATCATACTAGTTTTCTGCTACCTGGCAGGTACGATGAAATTATATCAATTAGCGGTAATACGCTCGACACTTTTGGCGTGACCGCTTCCTTTACGTTCTATAATGCAACTAATTCTTGTACGGTGCGCTCCCTGGGTACAAATCACCGCAATCACCAAGGAGGCTAAAACACCTACTATTTATTTATTTACAATGAGAAGATCTGCATTTGTACATTATCAGTTACTGTCTTGAAACATACTACAATCAAGTCATAAACATTATCTCTACTTATGTAGATAAGCTGAGAAGAAATACAAAATAGTGATAATTATGAATATTTACACATTTACGCTTTTGGGAAAGATAGGAATAGAATTAAATTCATTAGCATAATTGATAGATTTTGGTAAAATCATTACCAATCTAAGGTTGAATTTGATTAAATTCCAGATGATTGAAAGGCCATATGAGAGCATTTAGTACATTTATCATCACTAATCATTAAGATCATTCCATATAAGAATATAAGAAGTTAAGGAATTTTATAGAAACAATTTCTTTGGTTCTTGATTGCCATATTTACTTGTGTTTGGTAATATTTTAAAACTTTTGATTTGTTTACTGTTTTAATTTTCTACTTGAATTTAAAAATTGACTCTTTATATCTTCTTTAGATTGTTTTAACTTGTTTTTGCAAAAGTGTATGTATAATAGCGTGCATAATTATGTTATATGGTATAACACGATTTTTTTTAATGTACAGTGTCTCACAAAAGTGATGGGACACTTGTGCTTTACAAAAGGAAACTGTAATAAAATAAATTAAAAAAACATATAAAAATTTTTTGTTGGTGTGTTTCATATTTAAATTTAGTAACAATTATTACGTAACATACATTTTCTCAAAATGTTAAAATATTAATTTTAAAAAAATACGATTGTTTAGAACGGAGCAAAAAATGGCTCACATAAGTGATGAGACACCATTAGATACTACTACATACTACAATAAAAATATTTTGGGTTTTTTTTTTATTTTTACTCAAAAGCAATTGGCAATAATTTATAAAATCGTCTACAGTATTTCTCTTCAGTTTGTTTTGGAATTTTTGTGTTTTTTAGCTCTGTGCAGTCATGAATGCTAAACGAAAAGAAACTTTGCCTGAAATTCGAAAATTAGTTATTAATTTGTATATTGAACGTGGAAAATCTATTAGAGAAACTGCTGAAGCAGTTAACTTGAGTCATTCATCAGTTTTCAATATCATTAAACGATATAAAAAGAATCATATGATTCAGGACAAAAGAAGACCTGGCCGAGCATCAAAGCTATCCAATGGAATAAAGCGAATTATCGTTCAAAATATTAAAAAAAAAAAAAAAAAATCCAAGAATGAGTGCTCCTAAAGTTGCTGCTGATTTACAAGCATTATATGGAGTAATTGTTAATTCTGAGACTATTAGAAGAGTAATTCGATCTACTGGATATCACGGTAGAGAAGCCAGGAAAAAATTCTTCGTAAGTGAAAAGAACAGAAAACTCAGACTGGTTTTCGCAAAATCCAACATAAATAAGAATTCTGATTACTGGAATGAAGTTATATTTGCTGATGAGAGTAAATTTAATATATTTGGTTCTGACGGTAGAATCTTGGTGTGGAGAAAACCCAGGGAAGAATTTCGCAAACAGAACTTGGTGCCAACAGTAAAAGATGGTGGAGGAGGAGTTATGGTATGGGGGTGTATGTCGTCCCTTGGAGTTGGTAATCTTGTTTTTATTGACAGTATAATGGATCAGTACAAGTATATTAACATTTTAAATCAAAATTTGAAATCTTCAGCACGAAAATTGAACCTTCATAACGATTTTGAATTCTACCAGGACAATGACCCCAAGCACACTGCTTTGAACGTTAGACTCTGGCTGCTGTATAACTGCATTGAAATGATAAAAACACCACCTCAATCTCTAGACTTAAATCCCATAGAGAATATTTGGAAAGAATTGGAATCAAGAATTTGCAAACACACCATTTCTTCAAAACAACAATTAAAATCGGTGCTTCAAGAAGAATGGGGTAAAATCACTCCAGAAATCACAAAAAAATTAGTCGAATCCATCCCGAGAAGATTAAATCATGTTTTAAAAGTAAAAGAAATCCAATAAAATATTAAAACCTTTTAAAAAGTAAAATTTTTGGATAAATATTTGATGGAAAAGTAAGTGTCCCATCACTTATGTGAGTGATTTTTTGCTCCGTTCTAAACAATTAAAATCGGTGCTTCAAGAAGAATGGGGTAAAATCACTCCAGAAATCACAAAAAAATTAGTCGAATCCATCCCGAGAAGATTAAATCATGTTTTAAAAGTAAAAGAAATCCAATAAAATATTAAAACCTTTTAAAAAGTAAAATTTTTGGATAAATATTTGATGGAAAAGTAAGTGTCCCATCACTTATGTGAGTCATTTTTTGCTCCGTTCTAAACAATTATATTTTTATTAAATTAATATTTTCATTATTTGAAAAAATGTATGTTATGTAATAAGTGTTACTAAATTTAAGTGTGAAACACACCCACAAAAAATTTTTATATGTTTTTTAATTTATTTTACTACAGTTTTCTTTTGTAAAGCATAAGTGTCCCATCACTTTTGTGAGACACTGTATATGTATGTGGGAGGGGAGACTAGGAATTATGTTTTCCAAAAGGATGGGTAAAAAAATACAATGTAAATGAAAACTTTAAGTATTATAGAAAGAGATTTCTTTGAGATATATAAACTTTAACCCTTTGAAAAGCAAATATGAGTTGCCCACTGTGTAATGTTGGGTTATGCAAAGAGTGCTTTACCCTGTACCATGCGATGTAAATCTGTTTCATATGAAAAAGTTTTTCAGAATAATAGGTGTGCTTATATTAAGTCAATGGCTACGTGCAGACATATGTATCCTACCATTAACTACAGCTAGGACATATGTATCTCTTTATGTTGAAAACCATTTGTCAAAATAATCCCCAATGCTAAATTTACCATATTATGACATATTTTGTTCATTTGGATAAAAAAGCGGGATAAACATTTTTTTTTTTTTTTAAATTCATAATCAAAGGACTAAGAAAGGAGCATTAACCCTGTGGACTATTAAATTTATTTTTATCAGAATTGCATATTTCAAATCTTACATATATTTGAGAGACAAAATGTGTAGCATATTTTTCTTACAGATTTTTTTAATTTAAAATTCATGCATAAGTACAATCTTTCATAAAAATCAATTTTAAGAATAATAATACTAAGACAAATGTTCTGAAAATATATCTTGATTAAATTATGATATGCTTAGTAGAATACAAACGTAAAGTATGCACACTAATGGAATTATTTAATATTTCTTGAAAGAAATTTTCTGTTCTGAGGGTTGAATATTTAAGATGGTGTTAAAATGGAGGTTGTGACTTTATGATTCATGGTAACTTAATTTTCTTTAATTATTTGCATCCTAAAATTTTGTATAACTACTTTTCTTATTATTCGTAAACTTATAGGGCAAGTAGCCAGTTTGAATTCCACAGCTAAAGATGAAGATTGTTAATTAGTCAGAATTTTCATGTAGTATGTTTTTATCTGTTTCAAACAGTTTTTGATATCAATATTTTTCATTTTCAGATTCTCAAGAATATTTGCTTGTTATTTTATCACTTGAAAGTATAGAAATATATTTATTAGAAGGTTTTAAAAAATTATCTTGGGTTACTTTCTAAAGTGAAAATGATAACAATCAGTTTAATCTCAGTAGAAGATATCTGAGAAAGCCAAATGTTTAAAATGAAAATAGATTAAAGAAGTATCTGAAGCATAATTAAACTACTTCTGAAATTCAACCATGTGTGTTATATGTAGTTATTCAAATTTTTGTTATCCATTTTTGTAAACTCTGTTAAATTATAGAAAATAAGTGAAACAAGATATTTTATTTTTATTAGGATTTTATATTCTTTATCACTGCTGGTGTATTTCCCAAACCTGATGTTCTGAAGCTGATTATTGAAGCTGGTGGTGGAATACCTGTATTTAAAAAGGCTCCTTCTCTTAGACAAGTAGAAACTTTAAAGCAGGTAAGTAATTAATGTATTTAAATAAATATCCTGAAAATTACTTTGTGTATTTGTTATAAACTTACACAGGAGATGGACTGTATCGAAATTACATAATGAATTTTTTCTTTCATATTTCAGAGTGGTAAAAAATTTGTGATAATTACCTGTGAAAATGACCTCCATCTGTGTAAAATGTATCTAGAAAAAAATATAAGTAAGTGTTTGTTAAAACTCATATATTTTAGTTTTAATATATTTTTTTTTAAATTTTAAACAAAACATTTATAAATATTGTTTTTATTTACAACATAATAAAAATATTTCCAGGTGTACAAAATGTAGAATTTGTTTTGACAGGAAGTGTGAGACAGGACTTGGATTTCACATCATTTGCATTTACATCATAAAACATTTCTATTTTAATTACATCAGAAATGTATATTTTGTTAAACAGAGTACCTCCTAGATGCCTTTTAAAGTGCCATATGTAGTGCGTACATATTTTTTGTGCAATATGCTGTTTGTTCCAAGGCACTGATGTATATAGCTGTATGTAGATTTTATGAATAAAATCTTATTTTTTGCAACTTCATTTCATTGTCATAATTTAAGAGTAAATCTTTTTATTTTAGTTTTTCGTGTACAGATTATCTTCGCCAGTATATGAATTAGCAGTAAGCTCTGTGTGAATTTCAGTTTAGTTAGATTTGCATGCATGACTTTGAAAACTTAACACATTTTTAAAAATTGAAAGAAATATTGTATAATTATAATTTATGTTTAAATTTTTATTTAGTTATTCCAGTATTTTTGGAGATTCTTTAAAGAAAATTTTTAGATTTATTGTTGCTTATTTGTGTGTGCTGGATAGTAAAAAGCATAGACTACTGTGTATTATCAATGCATTGCACTTATTTTTAAAATTTTATATTCAGTGTGAATAAAAAAGACATTTTAATGTTTTTCCTAATGAAGTTAATTGTTAAAAGTAGAAGTTATTAAAAAAACTATTATGGTAAAACATTTTTTAAAAATTCAATGTTTGCATTTCGTAATGGTACAACCTCAACCACAATTATTTTTAAAGTTAATTCTGTAATTGTGTAATGATATAAGTAAATGGATAGAACCAGTGCACATAGTTTCAGCATTCATATATGCACAGTCCAATCACATTAATGTGACTACCTGTCAAAAGCCACTAGGATCTTGAGCCATATCAATTACAGTGCAGTGGCCAGCTGCATTAGGTTGAGGATCCATGATGTGAACAACCCGATCAAGGTGGTCCCACAGATTCTCGATTTAGTTTAAGTCTGGGGAGTTTGCTGGCCAGCAGAGTACGGTAAACTCATCTTGGTGATCTTAGAACCACACACATAAATTGGAAGCTGTATGCACTTCACATTGTTCTGCTGGTAGATACCATCATTCTGAGGAAAAGCAATTTGCATGTAGGGGTGGACATGGTCTGCAAGGACAGATGCGTATTTCTCTTGATCCATCATGCCTTCCACAATAATGAGTGCACCCAGAAAATGCCACGAAAACATTCCCCAGACCATAATGCTCCATCCTCTAGCTTGGACTCTTCTGGCAATTGTTACAGGGTGTTTACTTTCCGACGATTCACGCCATATATGCCTACGTCCATCTGCCTGATGCAGCATAAAACATGATCCATTGCAAAAAGCACCTGTCCCACTCAGTTGACATGCAGTAGCCATTCTGACATGCAAATTCCAGCCTTTGTTGCCGATGAGCTGCAGTTAGCATAGGTGGTTTAACTAAACACCTGCTGCCGAGGCCCATATGCAGCAACATTTGCTGAACTGCTCATTGAGGACATGCTGTTGGTAGCCCCTTGGTTCATCTGGACAGTCAGTTGCTCAACGGTTGAACATCTATCCACCCGAACACATCTCCAGAGCCGTCTTTCACCTTTGTCATCTATGGCCCGTGGCGAGCCACAGTTGCCATGTTGCTGATTTTGGATAGTACCATTTTGCCATGCATGCTATACTTTTACCACGGCAGCATGCGGACAGTTTACAAAATTAGCCATTTCAGAAATGCTTCCGTCCTTGGCCCAAAAGCCAATGATGATGCCCTTTTGGACATCAGTTAGTAATACCAACAGGTAGATAAATTGCTTTGTTTCTGCATTATGCCAATGATTGCAATATTTTCTGTCTCTCTCGGACACACATCATATACAGTCCATTCCAATGAGCTTTCATCTACCTTCTGTGATGGGTTGTTTCCTATTGACATCAAAAGTTGGTGGTGGTCACATTAATGTGACTGGACTGTGTACATAGTTATTTGTATTTCATTAATTTATATATTCAAAATGTTCTTAACTTGAAATGTTTTTGTACACATAAATGTGTGGTGCATAGTACAATTTCTAAATACATTTTGTATATTTTTTATAGTATAGGTTCTAAAGTTAACTTGTTTGATATCAATGATTACATACTACAAAAATAAAAATTAATAAAAAAAAATATGTTATTTAAGTGTGTGTGCCCATTTAGTTTCAAAATTTTCATTGAAAGTTTTGATATCATCAATTTGACCACCTTTATGCATATTGATTAAATGAGCTTCATTTATATGACATTTTCTCCAAATTTTGAAATGCAAAATATATGCTGGGCCACCAGCGAGCGGTAAAAGCACTGAACACTGGTAGTTTGGTCAGGGTTTGAGTCCCGACGAACGGGCTGGCTACATGGGCGTTTTCGTGGTTTTCCCCATGTGTAACGTGGATACGAGCTAGTTTTCCTTTAAAAGGCCTTCACGGGCATCCCTCCCTCTCTTGCAGTGCCTAAGGGCGGAGCATGTAATAAGCAAATATATATATATATATACATGCTGAATCCCCCTTCATGCTTTTGAAAATGTCATTTGAGTAAATTGGTTCGTAAAAATTTTTTTCGCAAAAGAAATAAAAAAGCTTACAAATACCCCTACTTTGTTAAGCTTGTAATTATTGAAAATAATATAGACAGACAAAAACATGCAGTTATGCAAAACCTGCATTAATCTCATTAGATATCAAAAAAATAATAGATCATATCCATTTGGAATAAATAAGTCAAAGCTTACTGATGGCTATTTTAGGACATTTAGAAAAGTTGAAACACTCCTAATTATTAGGTTTCCGACATGGTTGCAAGTTATCTAACTACAGTAGAAGTCCAGAAATTCGCAAAGCTTGGGACCAGAGGTTGTGCGGATTTCAGGGAAGAAAAGATAAATCATAATATTCAGACTAAAAGTGCAAAATTTTAGAAAACATTTAGAAGGACATTTAGAAAAGTTGAAACACTCCTAATTATTAGGTTTCTGACATGGTTGCAAGTTATCTAACTACAGTAGAAGTCCAGAAATTCACAAAGCTTTGGACCAGAGGTTGCACGGATTTCAGGGCAGAAAAGATGAATCATAATATTCGGACTAAAAGTGCAAAATAAATAAGGCGTAAATAGATAAATTTAATTAAATTATTTTATGCATTAAATTATTATAACTTATATAAATTGATTATATTATTCATTGTATTATATGTACACAACATCGAGGTTTGCCGATTTCGCCTTACGCAAAGATTTCCGGTGTTAGAATCACTGTTGCTGTAAAATTTCAACAGCTTTTCTTTAGTTTTCCGTATATCATATACAATCGTCTCGCAATTCCATACCATTCTGCTATAAATCGAGGAGTAGCACCTGCCTCCATCTTTTGTAGAATTTGCACTTTTTGTGTTATCGTCAATGCAGCGTGTTTACGTTTTTCAACATTGCAAGCAATAAAATCATGAGTGCATTTCTTATCTGTCAGTGTATGTCATTGTAGGGTTGAATTTCAAAATATTCTTAATTTATCCACAAAATAACAGGATAAAAAAAAAGGCAGCAGTAAACAATCTCGTGAAATAACAAAGCTCAGGAAATACAACTTGAATCGTGAACTTGAATGAAGAGTTGAGTGAATCGTCTGCTTTTTAATCTCGATGCAGAGATTAGAGGGAAAAAACTTTTATCTTATTTTTTGAACTTTTTTATGTCAATAATTTGGTATTATTATTCGGTATTATTATTTGGTATTATTTATGTCACTAATTATTATTCGGTAAGTATTTTTTCTTCGATATTTCGTACTCAATGTTGCGGTTTCCAGAACCTATAAACTGAATGTTTATATTTTGAGAGGCAATGCGGATTTCAGGAGTTGGCAGATTTTCGGTATTTGACTGTACTACTTTTGGAGCTTATTATTTCCAGCCCTGTATGGTATGTGTGGTGGAGGGATAGATTTACGTTTTCAAATATCTTCTGAGGAAAGAAAAACGCATGCAGCTAGCTAGGGTGATCTGATGAGCTATGGATTATCTCCATTTTTCCTTTTTTTTTTTTTTTTTTTTTTTTTTTTTTTGATTTTTGATTGCTGCATGATTAGGAAAGCTATTCTACAGAATGAGTATGGGAAGCCTTTAAAGTGCAGTCGCTTAATTTTATTGACAGATATTCCCCTTTCCTTAACCTGTTCAGTACGGGTGTGTGATATGTGCATCACTAGCGAACATTACCTCACGGTCGGGTGTGTCATATTTGAATTGCCATTTAATTCACTCTATGGCCGGGCGTACCACATTTGACTTGATAAAACATTTAATCAGTATTTTTTGTTGCCACTAGATGTAGCTGTATGTCTGTTATGGGGAAGTATATCAAAAGTTAAGTATGTGTACCTTCATTCCTATGCAACGTTTTTTATTTTTGGTATTTTGTTTCGGAATGAGAGGGAGATTCATGGGTGGGTGTTGAGCAATGTAATGTCTCTTCAACTGCGTCATTTGATATAAACAAATGCACATGTTCTTGATGCTTTGAGTTAATATTTATTTTTGCGATATAGGTGTCTGAACGTAGAAGAATATACACGAATGCTAATTCGTTAGTGTTGAGTAACGTGATGGGTCTTACTGCGTCATTTCATATGAACAAATGAACATGTTCTTGATGCTCTGGAATACTTTTTAATTTAATTAATTTTATTTTTTTTTTATCCCCATATAGTGGAGTAGATGTTCTATCATTAGAAACTTTTTTTATTAATCTTAGATTTTTCGGGCATTGAGACAAATATTTTGTATGGCTAAATGAATTTTTTTTTTTTAATGTTCTATTGCTGGTGTTCTATTTTTTTAATGGCAAAATGAAAGCGCTATCTAACCGTAGAAGATACACAAATGCTAAGTGAGTCAAATTTGCTGATATTCTATTCCTGTGACATTTGCAACGTTGGACTTTGCATATACCCATGTTTCAAAGAATATCGTACACTGTCTCTTTTTTTAAACATTGCTTCCTTTTCGTTGTTTGCACATTGAATTTTTATGAAAGACAGTTTCAATATTTTTAAATTTTAATTATGTGTTGTGTTAAATAAAATCTGCGATTGTTTGGATATTTTTCCATATATATTTAATTGTGGGATAAAGGAAAAATTATATTATTCTAGAATGAGTATTTTATAAAATTTTTAAGGAAAATATAACAATAAAGGGTAAAAATTAATTCT